TTGCCGATTTGAGATGACTAGGGCCTCAGTTTTGGTAGGGTTAAAAGACATCAGCCATTCTTTGGACCAAACTTCAAGTTTTCTCAGATCAGATTTTGCATTGGATGAAATTGTGTTTATGTCTTGGGACGAATAAGAAAGAGTGGTATCATCTGCAAAAAGTCTAGAGAGAGAGGAAAGATCACAGGAAATATCATTTATGTATATAAGGAAGAAAAGAGGACCAAGAACAGAACCTTGAGGAACACCAGCTTTTATGACCTTAAAGGAAGAAAGAGAATCATTGATAAAAACCGCCTGTTGTCTGTTTGAAAGATAACTAGTTATCCACTGAAGAAGATGGCAAGAAATGCCATAAGTATTCAATTTATGTATTAGACCTCTGTGCCAGACGCGGTCAAAAGCTTTTGAAAAATCACAAAATATTAATAGAGAATGTTCGTAATTGTCTAAAGAGGTAACTATTGAATGATATAGCTCAATAAGTTGATGTGTCGTGGAATGGTTAGGTAAAAATCCCGACTGATATTTGTAAAAAAGGTCATTTTCAATCAAAAAGTTATATACATGTTTATAAACCAAACGCTCAAACAGTTTTCCAATACAGCTTATCAATGAAATCGGTCTGTAATTGGAGGTAATACTTGCATCATTCGCTTTATAGATATATATGGTGGACACTATTAGTCAAAAGTGGTGTATGACAAGACATTTATGGTATATCCATACACAATTAAAGAATGCTGGCGTATATATGTAAAACATATATGTGTACAGTAGAGCTTGGATCCAGATTTTTGTTACAGATGCGGAACTAATAAGGGGGAAACCCGCAGTTAAACTGACCACATACTGTGGACAACCTTGAAATACACAAAATGGTAGTTTTAGTGTGTTCTTATTTAACTAGAACTTAAGCTTTGCTTGCGGCTGTTATAAATACGATGATGAAGGTTTATTTGTGTTTAATAGTCGAAACCCTGAAGGGTATTTTAAACGGGAGACAACAAGGCCTGACAAAACACAATATACATATTTGTACATTGTTGCAGAAATTCTTTCTCGTTTCTTCTCGTTATTCTTTTTTTTCAGAAAACTGTTCCCAGAAAATGGGAAAAACATATCTGCAGCTATCTTAAGAATGGGAAATAATTCATTATTCTGTAATAAGTTCTCTCCAAACTTCATTTTGTAATGTGATTTATTTTCAATTCAATTCATTTATTCTGTAAGCCTAACTAAAACATGTATTTACAATATGTACCTGGATTTCGGTGTCAGGTAGCCACAATCAACACCAGAACGGTTCAGAACATATAGGTGTGATCCTACAAACAATGTCAAGGTAGTGTCCACACTAAGATTTAATTTTGGAGACCGGTAGCCATAATCAGGGCCGGAACAGTGTTGAAATTGTGTGACACGTATATAGTTAGTGGACTAATGTATACCTGTGTTCGTGATGTATTACATAAACCCGTACCAACACGTGTACTTTTACAGTAACAGTAGAGGGAAGACTCATCCTAGACAGGTGTACATCTGACACGACAGCTCGGATAGTCGGTGTCGACTGGTGCGAAAATCAGAATACCAGTGCATTAGAACATAATTTGAAATGTCCATTAAACTTTTAAACTGCAATGTTTGTTATTTTTTGCAGTTCTGTATCATATTATGACAAACACGTTAACACTGAACCAATACACACGACCACAATACCCAATAAACCGCAATGACGAACATCTTCAAAATCTTTTGAATCTCGTGTTTCCAAGCTATAATCAACTTTAACTGCTACTCGTAACAATACATGTTGTATGGCCGTTCTCGTGTTTTTCTCATGTAACATTTCCTGTATCACAGTGTTGATTTTCAAAAAATGTCCGAAACTGTCTAAGGATCGTCAAATATATAAAAACAAATCAGTTTTGCCCAATGCCTCATTTTCGGTTCTCTTTCTACTCGTCGTCTTTGGAGCCCGTTTCCTACTTGCGGATCTCACTTCCTACCCAATGTTGCTCCTGGTACCTTGCTCGGTCAGGTATTCCGTGCTTCAAGTTTAAAGTTTAGAGAAACCTTATAACCTCGGACATGAGAATATTTGTTCATCTGTTAGTGAAATATTGACATTTGTACTTAACCACAAAGTCTATGAGTACTCCTACAACAAAGCTAACACACGTGTATTGATGTTTATGAAATGTCCCGAGGTCTATTAACACCTGTGCTGACTCGGATAAGTAGCCGAGTACTATACTAATCTGTCTGCTTATGAATGCCTTACAGTTGATTAACTTCACAACAATACACACACACACACACTACTGCACGTTGTCCTATACTATAAACTTACATCTTTTTTTATGAAGTAAACAGTTTTCCGAGCACTTTCTCAGGCATAACATGTAACCTAATTGACACGTACAGTGTATTGGCAGGTCTCTTAAATGACATAGCGTGGCAGTTCTGCATTAACCTACACAGGATGAGTCAACCGATATCTCTTGATTTGTTTTTTGTTAAGCCTTACGTTTCAGCATTTCAGACGCCCCGACTGGGACTGACAAGCTGGACCCCTCCCCACCCCCGGGTGCACTGTTAGGGAGAAGATCTAGAGTAGAGTAACCTGCTGAGTACAACGACCTAGAGGCGGTGGAGCATTTCGTCACAGGTGCCGAATCACATTACGGTCCAGGGGCGGAGGGGGCGGTACGCACGGCCAACGTTTATATCACTCGTCATTGCTCGAACATGGAATTAGATCTCAGCTAAATCCGTGGCCTTAATAAAGAAAGTCCGATTTCTTTGGACCGAGGAAACTTCGGAAATAATCGGACGTCCGCTGTGAGTCTCTTGTTGAACTTAAAAAAGCAAAATAAGCTGGATTATAATGGATTTGTTGGAGAGTTGTAGACCGCTGGGTTAGCCCTAATTTAATCCATGGGAGTTTGTTTGTCTACTTTCTCTAACTTAAGATTTACACAGATAATGTAAACACTGTGTATTACACAGGATACCCACTCCGTACGGAGGAGTGACAGGGCGGATAGACCGTGTTCAACCTTACACTAGGAGCAAACAGCGACTTACAACCGTACCCATGTGGTCAATATCTCGTTTTTTAAATTTTATGGTGTAAACTTCAGTAAATATTGTTCAAAATGTATGCTTTGTCACTATGGATAGTGTGTTTTATTTCGGTGTCCCCGGTAATTTCGGAAAAGCATGAAATCCAAATCGTGGACAATGGCTACACGGGAGTGAAGGTGGTCATTTCTGACAAGGTACCGGAGTCTGCTGGACTTGTCGACGGAATTAAGGTAAAGTATGATCTTGTCCGGGCTGGTGAAAATATTATTAAAGTTAACTTTAACCTTGTCCGTCTCAGTAAAAACCTTACTTAAACTCGTGTATGATGGCGTGCGAAGCAAAGGTAGCTGAGCATCTGTTACAACGATATTTGGACCTATATGTGGTGTGATTAAGGTGTTCGGTGTGATTTTACACGTTCGAAGGGTTTAGGTCAACTTTTGGTAAAAAAAACCCACCCCAATGCCGATGTATACGACCTAAACCATTATCGGGGTGACCTTTTTACCGAAAATGTATCTAAACCCCTAAAACGAGAGATGCACACTTTCATGTCTTCGTTTTATAGGTAAATCATTTGGTGGTAAAAACATTTTAAGAATCTCAAGGGCTATACTTAATAAACAAGAACAGCCTAAATATAATTACAGGTAAATAAAACCTACTTTTTACGCATAATTAACTCTGCTTATGGTCTATTCACTGAACCATGATGTGCGGTTGTTCGTTTTAAAACAATCACATGTTCGATATTTTACGTAGGAAACACATTGGTATTGGGTCTTTTAATCGCGAAGCACATTATATTAAACATACAGTATACAATATCATTACATACACAGTATACAATACCATTACATACAGCATGTACATGTACCATACCATTTCATACATCATCTACCATACTATTGCATACATCATGTACCATACCATTACATACATCATGTACCATACCGTTACATACATCATGTACCATACCGTTACATACATCATGTACCATACCATTACATACATCATGTACCATACCATTACATACATCATGTACCATACCGTTACATACATCATGTACCATACCGTTACATACATCATGTACCATACCATTACATACATCATGTACCATACCATTACATACATCATGTACCATACCGTTACATACATCATGTACCATACCGTTACATACATCATGTACCATACCATTACATACATCATGTACCATACCATTACATACATCATGTACCATACCGTTACATACATCATGTCCCATACCGTTACATACATCATGTACCATACCATTACATACATCATGTACCATACCATTAAATACATCATGTACCATACCGTTACATACATCATGTACCATACCATTACATTCATCATGTATCATACCATTTCATACACGATGTACCATACCATTACATACACCATATACCATACCATGACATACATCATGTACCATACCATTAAATACATCATGTACCATACCATTACATATACCATGTACCATACCATTACATACACCATGTACCATACCATTACATACATCATGTGTCATACCACTACACACATCATGTACCATACCACTACACACATCATGTACCATACCATTACATACATCATGTACCATACCATTACATACATCATGTACCATACCGTTACATACATCATGTACCATACCATTACATACATCATGTACCATACCATTACATACATCATGTACCATACCGTTACATACATCATGTACCATACCGTTACATACATCATGTACCATACCATTACATACATCATGTACCATACCATTAAATACATCATGTACCATACCGTTACATACATCATGTACCATACCATTACATTCATCATGTATCATACCATTTCATACACGATGTACCATACCATTACATACACCATATACCATACCATGACATACATCATGTACCATACCATTAAATACATCATGTACCATACCATTACATATACCATGTACCATACCATTACATACACCATGTACCATACCATTACATACATCATGTGTCATACCACTACACACATCATGTACCATACCACTACACACACCATGTACCATACCATTACATACATCATGTACCATACCATTACATACATCATGTACCATACCGTTACATACATCATGTACCATACCGTTACATACATCATGTACCATACCATTACATACATCATGTACCATACCATTAAATACATCATGTACCATACCGTTACATACATCATGTACCATACCATTACATTCATCATGTATCATACCATTTCATACACGATGTACCATACCATTACATACACCATATACCATACCATGACATACATCATGTACCATACCATTAAATACATCATGTACCATACCATTACATATACCATGTACCATACCATTACATACACCATGTACCATACCATTACATACATCATGTGTCATACCACTACACACATCATGTACCATACCACTACACACACCATGTACCATACCATTACATACATCATGTACCATACCATTACATACATCATGTACCATACCGTTACATACATCATGTACCATACCGTTACATACATCATGTACCATACCATTACATACATCATGTACCATACCATTAAATACATCATGTACCATACCGTTACATACATCATGTACCATACCATTACATTCATCATGTATCATACCATTTCATACACGATGTACCATACCATTACATACACCATATACCATACCATGACATACATCATGTACCATACCATTAAATACATCATGTACCATACCATTACATATACCATGTACCATACCATTACATACACCATGTACCATACCATTACATACATCATGTGTCATACCACTACACACATCATGTACCATACCACTACACACACCATGTACCATACCATTACATACATCATGTACCATACCATTACATTCATCATGTACCATACCATTACATACATCATGTACCATACCGTTACACACATCATGTACCATACCATTACATTCATCATGTACCATACCGTTACATACATCATGTACCATACCGTTACATACATCATGTACCATACCATGACATACATCGCTTACCATACCAATACATACAGCATGTACCATACCAATACATACAGCATGTACCATACCATTACATACACCATGTACCATACCATTACATACACCATGTACCATACCATTACATACACCATGTACCATACCATGACCACACCATGTACCATACCATTACATACATCATGTAACATACCATTACATACACCATGTAAAATACCATTACATACATCATGTACCATACCATTACACACATCATGTACCATACCATGACATACATCATGTACCATACCATTACATACACCATATACCATACCATTAAATACATCATGTACCATACAATTACACACGCCATGTACCATATCATCACATACATCATGTACCATACCATTACATATATCATGTACAATACCATTACATACATCATGTACCATACCATTACACACATCATGTACCATACCATGACCACACCATGTACCATACCATTACACACGCCATGTACCATACCATTACATACACCATGTACAATACGATTACATACATCATGTACCATATCATTACACACGCCATGTACCATATCATCACATACATCATGTACCATACCATTACATACACCATGTGCAATACGATTACATACATCATGTACCATACCATGACCACACCATGTACCATACCATTACACACGCCATGTACCATACCATGACATACATCATGTACCATACCATTACATACACCATATACCATACCATTAAATACATCATGTACCATACCATTACACACGCCATGTACCATACCATTACATACATCATGTTCCATACCATTAAATACATCATGTACCATACCATTACACACACCATGTACCATACCGTTACATACATCATGTACCATACCATTACTTACACCATGTACCATACCATGACCACACCATGTACCATACCATTACATACACCATGTACCATACCATGACATACATCATGTACCATACCATTACATACGTCATGTACCATAACATTACACACACCATGTACCATACCATTACACACACCATGTACCATACCATTACATACACCATGTACCATACCATTACATACACCATGTACCATACCATTACATACACCATGTACCATACCATTACATACACCATGTACCATACCATTACATACACCATGTACCATACCATTACATACACCATGTACCATACCATTACATACACCATGTACCATACCATTACATACACCATGTACCATACCATTACATACACCATGTACCATACCATTACATACACCATGTACCATACCATTACATACACCATGTACCATACCATTACATACACCATGTACCATACCATTACATACACCATGTACCATACCATTACATACACCATGTACCATACCATTACATACACGATGTACCATATCATTACATACACCATGTACCATATCATTACATATACCATGTACTATACCATGACATACATCGCTTACCATACCATTACATACATCATGTGTCATACCACTACACACATCATGTACCATACCACTACACACACCATGTACCATACCATTACATACATCATGTACCATACCATTACATTCATCATGTACCATACCATTACATACATCATGTACCATACCGTTACATACATCATGTACTATACCATTACATTCATCATGTACCATACCGTTACATACATCATGTACCATACCGTTACATACATCATGTACCATACCATGACATACATCGCTTACCATACCAATACATACACCATGTACCATACCATGACCACACCATGTACCATACCATTACATACACCATGTACCATACCATTACATACACCATGTGTCATACCACTACACACATCATGTACCATACCATTACATACGTCATGTACCATACCATTACATACACCATGTACCATATCATTACATATACCATGTACTATACCATGACATACATCGCTTACCATACCATTGCATACATCATGTACCATACCATTACATACATCATGTATCATACCATGACATACATCATGTGCAATACCATTACATACATCATGTACCATACCATTACACACACCATGTACCATACCACTACACACACCATGTACCATACCATGACAAACATCGTTTACCATACAATTACACATACCATGTACATGTACCATATTTATACATACATTGCACACTAGTTCCGTATTATTATACATTATGTATCATACATTAATTAAACGTACATATTAATGTTTGCATTTCTGGGAATTCCTTACTTGTATATAAATAGCTAGTGTACAAGTCACGTACAGACATTTCTTTCGAACTTATTGACATGCATTAACCAGCTTTAATGAAGAATTCAAAGATAATACGGTACATAAAAAGTGTATATTGTACATCTCAAGCATTTATGCTTTTTCATAAAAGAAACTACACCTTTCATAAGTTCATTATGGAATTCAAGCTATGAATCTCATCTAGATCGTGTAAAAATACCCGAATAGAGAACTTCTACCCCCAGATGTGCAGGGCAGGGCATTACAACATGTCGTCCGTCGTCCGGACATCCCGGATCCAGAACATTAATACCCGTATAATGTTACTTTATACCTAGTTTATGGTTCCATTTACCTTCATCGGACTTCCGGAACAGGTTTTACTATTCAAGAAATCTCATAAAACTTAGCCATACGTTTGTGGGCTCTAGTACTGTTTTGGTGCGATGGTTAGGTTTCTAGCTCTGCCCTACATTTTGTGTGACGTCACTGGTACGTAACTTACACCAGACAGAGATGAAGTGAACGTTTATCCCATCCCCCGGTATACCGTTTCGGACGGCGTAGTACAGCAGCTCAAATCGTGTCTTAGTTCGAAAGTGAATAAAAGGTGAACTCGTTAAAGTACTGAACATCCGACAGCATCGTCAGCCTACTATTAAGTTTAGGTGTCAATCAACGTTATCCGAAGTCTTACGTGCTTCGATTATTGATTTGTGTCACATGAACATCATATTTTTTTTCACAATTCTCGTCCTTTAGTCGGAGTTAAATAGTTCTTAATTTTCGTCCTTTCCCGACATTCAAATACCCAAAAGGACGACAAATACATGTTATATACAGAAACACATTTAATTCTCGTACTTTCACAAAACAGTATCGTCCTTCTGTCCTTCTGTTTACACGAGAATTTTAACCTACAAACAGCGTAAATGCAGATATAGCGGCTGATATCTCGTCCGCATGCCTCAGATGAGTATACAATAATTACCATAAACCTACAAATTATGTGATAATTCACATTTTATTGTAAAAGCTCTGTTGAAACAAAAACTATTTTCTTTCGGTTTTTTTAACATTTATATTAAGTGAGGTAACGATTAGGTCGCGTTTATACTCGAAATTCAAGTAGACATTTTATAGAGTGTCCAGCACTCTATGGTAAACGTATGTTACATGTAAAAATGTAAATATTTATTTTAGACATAATTGATGGATGCTTTTCATAGTTTTTAGAATCGACTTATTCGTCAACATGTACGTATTGTGACATGTGTATAGTAGGCGGGACGAGTTGTGGGAGGATAGCGACACGGAAAGATTAAGCCGTACAAGTTTATCACCTGTGTGTGATTCAGCTTTAAATCACACACATCCATTACTTTGTGTACGTTACGCATCCTTCACACCGTTACACACAGAAATCCGAGCCGGGCTTAATCAACAAACACATGTTAATGCTACAGTGAAATTTGAACAGTGCTCTGTTAATTTCTTTTTAAATTTAAATACTTCTAAACGCAGTTTTTTTCAGGTGACCTTCCGAACCCCGGTGCAAAATGTTATCACTCTCTATTCTTATTGAACTCTTCAAGTTTATTTCTGAGAAACAAGTTTTTATTTTCAGTCGTCGACGAAAAAATCCTTTTTTTTTTTGCGGGCCAGTGTACCGATTGTTATAAGCCTTTTATCATCGTGTGATATACAAGCGAAACATTTTGATATTACCTAACATAGCGACAAACAGTGTATATACATTAGTAAATGTCCCGTATATATTTGACCGTTGTGACGACATATAATATTTCGAAAGAGAGATACAGTAAATATACTTAAGAAGTGCGTGAACACAATTCATTACAATGTTAATGTTGGATGTAAAAGAATTTAGTAGTTAACGATCTCATTGTGGGTGTAGCCGCTGCAGTAGGATTGTCATTAGGTAATTATTGACCCCATCTTCTAATGGCGGGAGCATTTTTTCTTGCATGAACAGGTAATATAACAGTATCGGTTGTCAACGAGGCAGTTAATAGCACCCGAGAAATGATCCATTCAAATCAACTGAGAGTCTGTCTAGGTGTACATCAATACGGGGTCAATAACTGTTTTATGGTACAGAATAAACACAAGTTATATGAAATTACGGGTGAGAAAATATGTATGATTATGTTAAGTGTTTTTGGTAGTACAATGTAAATAAGTATCTGGTCATCACTATGGATAATCTCTGTTACACCGTCAGCCTCTGGTGAATTCGTGTTTTTATATTAAAATATAAAACTTTTTTCTAACAAGCTTGACCTTTGACCTTTGCCCTTTACAGACAGCCTTCACCGAGGCTTCGAAAGTGCTGTACTCCGCCTCCAAGAACTTTGTTTACTTCAAAGAGATCACTATTGTTGTTCCGAAATCCTGGTCCGCGTCCAGCCAGTACACGACCATTTCCGGTTCTGCGTCAAGCAGCATGGACTTTTTGGTGGACAAGGCAAAAGCGGAAACAGGAAACACGCCATACGTCCACGGACTGACAGCGTGTGGTGGACAAGGGCAGTATGCGCATATCACACCGGAACTGATGATCAACTCTCAGTCAATAGGATATGGTCCTATTGGTAAGCATTCACGTGTAATAGTCGCCAACATGACAATTATTGCATGTCTAACAGAACATTAGCTGAGGGTTTATGTTCGCTGATATATGCACTATACTAAGTAATTTAGTTTTTTGTATATGATCATACTAGCATTAGATTGCAAGTGATATACAGGACGTGAAAGTGATACATGTTGTCGTTCGGTAGCTTTTACTCACGTTCAAACATTCCATAGCAATAATTGTCTGATCATTGTCTAATGTTCTGGTATAACATTACCGTTCTACATCCCGGACAATGTACAATAATTACTAAAATAGAAACCGTACACACTAGGTATCGTGTACACAGGTAAGTACCTGTTCCACCCATTGCGCTGGCAAATTACACAGACATAAGTATTATTTTCTCAAATCACCGGTAGTACAGCATTCCTAGTTTAACACATCGGCTTTAATACCCCAATATACCTGTGACCTTATGTAGAAAATGTATTTTATTGGCGATTCACTGTATTTATATTCGCTGACACTTGAATGTTTAGTGTATATACGTCAGGTTTGTGTTATGATGCGAGTAAATTAACGAGGCGATTGCCTTATTCTGACATTATTGAAATTACCTCGTAATTTTATTTTCACAACCTTCCCTCCCATAAGCTGATGATTCTGTTGACGTATAATCCGATTGTAGTCCACTTTTCCTCCTTCCTTGTAATCCGATGTTCCCTCTATGTAATCCGGTGTTCCCTCTATGTAATCCGGTGTTCCCTCTATGTATTCCGATGTTCCCTCTATGTATTCCGATGTTCCCTCTATGTAATCCGATGTTCCTTCTATGTAATCCGATGTTCCCTCTATGTATTCCGATGTTCCCTCTATGTAATCCGATGTTCCTTCTATGTAATCCGATGTTCCCTCTATGTATTCCGATGTTCCCTCTATGTAATCCGATGTTCCCTCTATGTAATCCGATGTTGAATTCCTCATTGTAATTCGTTCCCTCTCTCTTTTAAATCCGCTGTTTCCTCCTCATTGTAATCTCTGTCCCCTCCTCCTTGTGGTTAGTCCGAATTATTCTGACGTTTTATCGACTTTTTTTTATATCGGTCTGGCGTCGATTAAAAAAGGTCGATAAAACGTCAGAATAATTCGGACTACCTTGTGGTCTGATGTTTCCATGTAATTGTTGTTAAATGTGTACTGATGATGTGTTGTTCAGAAAAGATTCTGGTCCACGAGTGGGCTCACCTAAGATGGGGAGTGTTTGATGAGTACCCTTCCGTGGAACAGCCGGACATTGACGAAATAGAGAAATTCTACAACGAGGACGGTACATGGAAACCAATCATGTAAGGATATAATATGAAATACTTATTTTCTACATTCGACGGGATGAAAGGCAGCCTTTTTTTGCATCCAATTATCCATTTTGCAGGAAATTTTAACTTGAACTTTAGAGATATATAAATATGGGCGGCATTGTTCTACCGCATCGTGTTTATATAGGACTTCAGTTTTAAATTTGACCACCAATATGATTTCAAAGGAGTATTTTCAATAAATCCTTAATGCCAATGGCTTTATTGCAGGTGTACGGACAAGATCCTAGGACTAAATCTTCGAGATTGTAGGAATTCTCGGTCACGGTGTTTCACCGACCCCGACGGCAAACCGGAACCAGACTGTCAGTTTTGTGTGCAGGCTCCGAACACCGCTAAGGCGTCGCTCATGGCTTATCAGTGGATATCATCCGTAAGTTAGTTCCGAACGTCTTTTTCGTCATCTGGGTCGACGTTAGTGCCATGTTGGATGGTCTGTCATTTTGCAGTAATAACACGTTGTCAAAAAAAATGTGATCAGATCTAATTTAAGTCCTTGTTTGACCCTTTCCTGAAATTGTTCCAGATCCGGAAACAATAGAATTTGTGCCTATTTTTCATGTAGTGTCAAAGAAACCATTGCAATGTTTATTTCAGGTAGTGGAATTTTGTGACGAGGACACCGCGTCCGTGAACGAAGCATTACGTCATAATTCACGTGCTCCTAATGACCAAAATCGTTTCTGTGGCCAGCGAAGTGTCTGGGAGGTGATGAGGACACATTCAGATTTTAATGGTAGGTCAATATTTAACCAATATAAATCAATTTGGAATTAACTTTATAACATTTATATTTATAACATATGTTCAATATTTATAACATAGATGGTTGTCTATTAGTTATGTATTACACCCTCCGATGATGTTGGTATCATTTAACCCGTGAGTAAGATATAAATGAAAAATCTTGTCAGTCACTTGATACATATGAACTCGGTACGACTATATGCGCGGGCTATATAATGGTTAAAGGTACAAAATCACGTTTTTTTTAGTATGAATCAATATGAAACTGTTCTTCAGCTTCCAACAGTGCTGGTTCCGGGACGCAGGCTACCACTCCCGTGTTCAATGTGGTCCAGGAAGGGGAGATACGGTTGGCTCTCGTACTGGACATATCTAACAGTATGAACGCCCAGATTGCCGGGGTAAGTACCGGAAACACTCATTTCAATACTTGTCTTGCAAATACAGAAAGGCGTCTCAGCCCTTTGGTGTATATTATATGTTGCCACTGTAATTTCAGTTCATNGTGCCGTTCCCTATTGTTATTCTACTGAAGGACACGTAGTCTTTCTACTGCAGTATACGGTGCCGCCCTCTGTTGGTGTTTTATTGCAGTACTTTGTGCCGTTCCCTATTGTTATTCTACTGAAGGACACGTAGTCTTTCTACTGCAGTATACGGTGCCGCCCTCTGTTGGTGTTTTATTGCAGTACTTTGTGCCGTTCCCTATTGTTATTCTACTGAAGGACACGTAGTCTTTCTACTGCAGTATACGGTGCCGCCCTCTGTTGGTGTTTTATTGCAGTACTTTGTGCCGTTCCCTATTGTTATTCTACTGAAGGACACGTAGTCTTTCTACTGCAGTATACGGTGCCGCCCTCTGTTGGTGTTTTATTGCAGTACTTTGTGCCGTTCCCTATTGTTATTCTACTGAAGGACACGTAGTCTTTCTACTGCAGTATACGGTGCCGCCCTCTGTTGGTGTTTTATTGCAGTACTTTGTGCCGTTCCCTATTGTTATTCTACTGAAGGACACGTAGTCTTTCTACTGCAGTATACGGTGCCGCCCTCTGTTGGTGTTTTATTGCAGTACTTTGTGCCGTTCCCTATTGTTATTCTACTGAAGGACACGTAGTCTTTCTACTGCAGTATACGGTGCCGCCCTCTGTTGGTGTTTTATTGCAGTACTTTGTGCCGTTCCCTATTGTTATTCTACTGAAGGACACGTAGTCTTTCTACTGCAGTATACGGTGCCGCCCTCTGTTGGTGTTTTATTGCAGTACTTTGTGCCGTTCCCTATTGTTATTCTACTGAAGGACACGTAGTCTTTCTACTGCAGTATACGGTGCCGCCCTCTGTTGGTGTTTTATTGCAGTACTTTGTGCCGTTCCCTATTGTTATTCTACTGAAGGACACGTAGTCTTTCTACTGCAGTATACGGTGCCGCCCTCTGTTGGTGTTTTATTGCAGTACTTTGTGCCGTTCCCTATTGTTATTCTACTGAAGGACACGTAGTCTTTCTACTGCAGTATACGGTGCCGCCCTCTGTTGGTGTTTTATTGCAGTACTTTGTGCCGTTCCCTATTGTTATTCTACTGAAGGACACGTAGTCTTTCTACTGCAGTATACGGTGCCGCCCTCTGTTGGTGTTTTATTGCAGTACTTTGTGCCGTTCCCTATTGTTATTCTACTGAAGGACACGTAGTCTTTCTACTGCAGTATACGGTGCCGCCCTCTGTTGGTGTTTTATTGCAGTACTTTGTGCCGTTCCCTATTGTTATTCTACTGAAGGACACGTAGTCTTTCTACTGCAGTATACGGTGCCGCCCTCTGTTGGTGTTTTATTGCAGTACTTTGTGCCGTTCCCTATTGTTATTCTACTGAAGGACACGTAGTCTTTCTACTGCAGTATACGGTGCCGCCCTCTGTTGGTGTTTTATTGCAGTACTTTGTGCCGTTCCCTATTGTTATTCTACTGAAGGACACGTAGTCTTTCTACTGCAGTACATGGTGCCGCCCTCTGTTGGTGTTTTATTGTAGAACATGTTGCCGTCTGATGTTATTGTTGTGGTCGCCCCCTATAAGTATTCTTGTATTTAATCTGGTTTCGCATCCTATTGTATTACAGCCTTCAAGACTACAGTTGCTACAGGACTCTGTTGGCCATTTTCTTACGTACGCAGTCCCAGATAACTCCGATGTTGGGATCGTCACATTCTCCTCCAGTGCCCAGATCGTCACTTCCATGACCACAGTGACGTCAGACGCCATACGTCAGAGCCTCGTACAGAATCTGCCTTCAACGGCGTTTGGTTATACAGCCATTGGCGATGGTCTACTCAAAGGACTTGAGGTAACGGATCTGTCTATTTTGTGTAAAAGATATATCGCCATTTGTTTTCCTCAATTTTCCAAATTAGAAACATATTCCACAAGCATCAGCATAACAAATGCCCTCATCTGTGTGCAGTCGCTCAGTCCATAAAATAAGAAACAGATATTTCCAACTATTTAATATAATGGACGGGGAATATCTATTCCATGCTGCATTTTTATATAACCTACAATATTGCAATGTTACTTACATAAATCGTTTGCATCAAGGGGGACAACTTACATGCAAATTGTTTTTCTCAACGTCAAGGCAAATAAAAGCGACGAAATTTTTAAAATTTGTATCCCTGTTACTACTTAAAGGTTCTTAACACGACAGCAAACCTGAAAGGAAGTATCATCATTTTGGTAACGGACGGGAAGGAAAATCGGCGGCCCTTAGTAGCAGATGTCTTACCACTCCTCGTGAGTTCCGGTGTCACGGTCCATTCACTGGCTATCAGTAGCGGTTCAGACAGTCAGCTGACCTCCATCTCCCAGGTTACCGGCGGAAAGAGTTACTTCTATTCTGAGAGTAGTACTTCCACGGTGCTACATGACGCGTTCGCTGGGATGTTGGAAGAGTCTAATGTTCCAGTACAGGTACGACTAAGTTGTTGGTATATGTTCATATTTCCCTCTAGGGAAGAAAGGTTCATATTTCCCTCTAGGGAAAAAAGAGATGTAAGTACATTGTTTGCGTGTTTGAGTAGTATAGAATGAGTGTTTGCACGTCGTGTTGTGACTGTTTGACCTGCTGGAGATTTCTATGCCCCCACCACCCATAAGGTATGATTTCTCAGCTGGTGTTGTGTTATGTAGTGTGTAACTTGTGTTTACGTTGTGTTGTGTTGACGTTACATGTATGTTGTGTAGTGTGTGTCGGTGTTGTGTTGTGAAGTATGTAACCTGTTATGTTGTATTATGCATTGTGTAGTATATGCTGATGTTGTGTTGTGTAGTGAGTAGCTTGTGGTTACGTTTTGTATAGTGTAGTATATGCTGATGTTGTGTTGTGTAGTGAGTAGCTTGTGTTTACGTTTTGTTTAGTGTATTATATGCTGATGTTGTGTGGTGTAGTGTGTAACTTGTGTTTACGTTTTGTATAGTGTAGTATATGCTGATGTTGTGTTGTGTAGTGAGTAGCTTGTGTTTACGTTTTGTTTAGTGTAGTATATGCTGATGTTGTGGTGTGTAGTGAGTAGCTTGTGTTTACGTTTTGTATAGTGTATTATATGCTGATGTTGTGTTGTGTAGTAATTAACCTGTGTTTACGATGGTTTCCAGATTGATAGCCAGAGTGTAACGGTACAGGGTGGCAGTCCGGTGACGGGACAGTTCTATGTTGACTCTACTGTGGGACTTAAGACCGTCCTTCAGGTCATGGTCAACGATACGTCCAGTGTGTCTGTCCGAGTGTCCGGGCCGGACGGCACGACGTATACCGACACAAGCGGCCCTTTCGTCACCTCAATTACCAGAAATGTGGCCATCAGTGGCACAGCGGCGGTAGGTACATGCATGTCTTAGCATGGTTATAACGATATAAAATATGATGATGATGATGATGATGATGATGATGATGATGTAGCAATGGAATGCACATTCACGACATTTACTTACAAGTAAATAAACTTTGTAATAATATGTTGAAAGAAGCAAGAGTTTCAATATCGTGAACTGTAAATTTTAATAATATATGCAATATCAAAGTTCACTTGTTCCTTAACAGGCCGGGCGGTATACATACACAATAACGTCTGATACAGACCTAAAAGGCACATTAAGCGTACAGTCCGGACGGACGGACACCGCCTCGGACGGTCTCATTGTACGATCATGGACATCGGGCACACAGTACAGTTACGGACAAAACTCGACCTTCAGGGTATATGCCTCTGTGCTCCGGAACAAATCCCCAGTATTGAAGTCAAGGATCACTGCTAATCTGGAGAACGAGGACGGCGAAACAGCAACTATAGACCTAAAGGACGATGGTGTCGGTACGTATCAACGTCATTCCTGTTGCTTGTTCGGGATCTTTTTGATCCTCCTTACTTGAAGCATGAAAAATAGCAGTACACTCAGAAATTATTCCGGTTCATTGTAATTCTGCATATCCATAACAGGGTCTGACCTGACAGCTGACGATGGCGTGTACTCCGGTACTGTCCTTCCCAAGTACGTGACCCTTGACGGCCGTCTCAGCGTCAAGGTCACAGCTGCCAACACAGACGGAACGGCCAAGGTACTGACGGCTACTTCCGGGAGCGGTGCGGCTCCCCTCAGCGGAAGTGGTAAGTATAACGGATAACTCACTCCAATCATTTTTGATTTTTTTTTTTAGACGGCGATATAATTTTGAAATGTTCCTTGTAAGCCTTAATTTTCTTGAAACAACAATATTTCTTGCAAAGACATGAAGTAATGACCTTTGTGAATTTTCCCTCCTTACAACATGGTCGAATTGCCGGTTAAATACAACACTGCATTACATGCTACACAAAAGCGAATTGATTTTCCCTCCCTGCAAACTTACACTAATCAATGATTTCAGAATGAAGACCATGGGTGGTTGATAAATAATAAAGCCAACTTGTATAGTATTTCTTCCAATTTTCTTCTGTAGAAAAATGCCAAAAATCGAAGTTATTTGTTCCACTTAAAAAAACTTTGTTCCGTATATTGTATCTACCGTGACAGCAATGTTGTGAAAGTAAGCCTGCGAATAATCTGACTTGATGTCATAGTTTTCTATTTGAATCATTCATATGGCATCTTTGTTACGTAAGCATTATACCTTGTTGTCAGTAACGTTTGAACCGTTAGTCTAGCCTTTTTTCGTTCCTCCCTGATGTCGAACGGAAAGTGCATCAAAGAAAAAGTGCTTTGGAAATAAAATGTCGCAGTCAGCATGTTAATACCTGATAAAAGGGTTATTCGAATAGCAGCCTCTAATGATATAGAAGTATTGTCTTAAGTAACTTTTGTTGAATAACTAAACTGATATTTCAATGCAGTTTTTTAATCGGGTATACGGTAAATTGAAGAAGTCTTTAAAACCATTTGCAGTTTTCAAAGAATTAATGGGTCTTTAAAAACAAGTGACGCGCATCCGAGCAGGAATTCAAAGAAAAAAAATCATTTTCTAAATCAAAAGAAAAAATAAGAGTCGATTTCTTAACGTGAAATAACCATTTCAAGAATTATTATGTTCGGTTTTTATTCGGAAAATATCTTGTTGCAATATCGTTTTAAAGTGAAAACATGTAAAACTAACTGATTGTAAAAAATAAATAAATATTAGAGTTATTAACAATGCTAGGGTCGTTTTCTTTGGTTCAAGAGTGATTCAATGAATGGCAAAAGAAACCAAATCAAACAATGACCATTGTTGAAGCCTTTTGTTATGCGTATGGGTAAATGTTGTTTTTGTTTCCTTTCCCTAAATCTTGTCACAGCCAGGGTCACTTTTGAATTCTGGAGTAACCTCAGTTATCTATGATATGCAGTGTTACAGGATAGAGTCAGCCAGTGACAAACATATAAACTCGGATGTGGAAGTATAACACTCAAATCCAAGGACGGGTACCAGCCTCGTCTCAATACACCTATAATATAAACACGCTTGCTAACTCCATAGCCAAGTAAAATGACATTGTTCCAGAAAACATGCGATTGTGTCAGGCTAGTACCTGTTATCAAAAGGAATCCGCTTCATCTTGCTGTTATATCAACCGTGGCTAGTGCCGTAGAAATCGGAAAGTGTCAAATATCGCTTTTATTTTTACACGTGTATGTAAAAACTGACAGCCTTAAGCTTAGATCTATACTTATTTGTGGACAATTTTAATTACAGGAAACACGGTAACCATTGGCAACCAGGAAAACTTCCAGCGAGTGTCCCAAACTGGTGAGATGATAGTTCAGAACTATGTTCCTGGCGCAATATCCGACGTCATACCTCCGGCCAAAATCACCACCCTCGTACTGACGTCAATTGACGACACTTCCGGTGTCGTACAGGTCACATGGAAAGCTGTCGGTGATGACGTAGATGATGGAACAGGTGAACTTTATTTTTTTACTTAAGTAACGCATTTCGATTACTAACATTGATTTAAAATACAACATCCTTCCACTGACAAGCTGCCATTGAAGCGTACATCAAATATTTAAATTTATTCAAACGTTTCAATTAGTAACTAATTGAACAGGATCGAGTATACAGCCGCTCGCGTACAAAGCCGTATCTATAGGAACTATCTTTCAATCATTAACATATCAATCAATTTACCGTATCTTTTGTGACAAACTTTCAAAAACTAAAAACATTTCTATGTTGATATACTTTTAATCATTTATCATTTCTGTTGCTACTTTTCTGGGTTATTTATTTTTCTTTGCATCGATTTTATATTTACAGCCACTCTGTACGATGTCCGATTGTCAACCGACATAAACTCTTTGATGACAAACCCTGGGAGCGCTTCACAACTGACATCCCAGGTACCTACTCCGAAAGCTTCTGGACAAACAGAAACATATACTTTCACACTTCCGGTCCTGGCCCGTGACAGTAGGACATACTACTTGGCTGTTCGAGCCACGGACAACAGTCAAAATACCGGGGAACTGTCCAATATAGTTTCCTTATCTCTCGTGACTGATGTCAACTGGCTCCCGACCACAACGACACCTACCACAAGTACTAGAGCCACCACCGTCGTCCCTAGATCGACGCGCAATTCTGACCAGTCTGTTCTGATTGGTCTTTCAACAGCAGCATGTATAGCTGCAATTGGTCTTCTTTTATTAGCTATAAGCATGTCGTGTTGTTTTGGTAAATGGAAAAGAGTAACGTCGCGAGGACGTTACCCAGATGACGTAGAGTCTGGTTACACGTCGTCAAGGCGAAACACCCGAGGGAACCGGTCGAGACGAAAGAGGGGTTATTCCAGTCAACACGCAGACGATATACGAGATTACAAACGAAGTCGACATAAACGAGATTATATGGACGTGTACTCAGTACCAGATCTCACTCCGTACGACTTTCCATACATAAAACATGGCTCGGCCTATAGTAATAGTATACCATACAACATGTATAGGTAAACTACCCAATACAACAGAAACATCGTCTTACACATACTACATTTAAAAGTATGATATACTGAGGAATTTGTATTCTTCAATTTCGTTGATCTCGCCCGATTAAATTTGCTCAACCTTTAGGCTTGGAGGGCTGTCGAGAAGCTGGCGAATAAAACGTTGGATAGTTTAGATGACTGTCTGTCAGCAGAAATTGTATGAAGAGAAAGGTCTTGATTTGAGTAATGTACGTCTGATATCCATTATATTACATTATTTCCAATACATTCCATAATTATCAGTTTGTGAAAGTATACTAGAGTGCGTGTTTGTGTATAACATGACATAACATATGTGATATAGTGATGTTATAAGTGTAAGGGTATGTATGATGATTTGTGATACATTTTGTAAGTTTATATAATATATTAAATATGAAACAATAAAAGCCTACAGATTGCTGTTGATTTGTTTGTGTTAGAAATACATCGCATTCATTTCTATGACAGGGACATGTTCGGGGGCCAATACTTCATGCATTTACGTTACACTAGATTGTATAATAGTTCAGACACGAATTACGTACCGTAATGGTTTCAGGATAGTGGGAGGAAATATATTTTCAGAGTGACCTACTCCGGATTTTTTCAAGACAGCAATACATGTATAGCAGTCTACACAAATCTGAGCAATTGCATATTGTACTAAAACATCCAGTAAAACAATACTGAAAGATAACAGATAACGGGTCTATAAGAAGGTAAACCCACAATATCAAAGTTTTACTTTATACACAAACAATGAACATATTAAACGTGTCGCAACGTTTCAAGACCGTATATGACCTGACAACGGGACCAGTCGGTCTTGAAACGTTGCAACATGTTTGATACGTACATTGTGTATAAAGACAAACTCTGTTCCACACTGATGGACCTTATTGAAGATAAGCCAACAGCCTGCAACTGCTGATGGTCAGACTGTCAACTCATACCTGGGGCAACAAACCTGTTGATGTTCAAAGGTCTGCTGTTGCGATAACATTGAGGCAGAGTCGTCCAACAATCATTCTATGATATTTTTTAATGAATAAAATATTTTTTTCAGAGACCATGCTATTTCGGTCATGCAATGAATTTTCCAGTAAACGTCTCCAAAATAAACACGTTCAGTATGATTTTCACTTTAATGGCAGATACTGCGAAACGATGAACTATACGACTGATGGATTCTTTCTGTCTAAAAATAATTTTGTTTTTAACAGAAGATCTTTGATACCAGGAAGTTAATTTAACTTCACTTTTGACTTTTTGGTCATTCCTTATGGGCTCTTCTTGCACATGCTGTTGTAATCAAAGGCCACAGCCGATATGTCTTTTCTGGAATGTTTGAGATGTTGAAGTTCCTGGTCACCAAAAGGTCTAATTACCTCTTTTGGTTTAATTATCATCCGTTATTGTTGATTCTGAAACTGAGATGATTTTACCACGTGCACAACAGACAATAAGGCATGTGGTGAACTGTTGTACAAATGAATATGCATCTCTGATTCAATGTATCTATCTTTTAAGTTCAAACGTGAATTTCTGTACTTTATTTTTGTATATGAGCACAGTAATATGTCTCTGAGGTTCTATGGTCGTACTGGGAAAAGCGTAACCCCTGGAGTTTCGAGGATGTATTGGGAATCTTGTTTTCAGTATTTTTGATGCCCGGGATAGATGATGTTCAATCTCATGTTCCTCTTCTGTTTTGTATTGTAATAAATACACCATGTCTAATTCCACATTTGGTATCATATACCTGAACTTCGCCTTCAATTATACCAATAACCCGTAACCCCGTTGGTCATTTACCGCCCTATCCTCTTTATGCCGATTTGAACAATATTCCACGTGTATCCGTCTGTTCTTTTGTTTCATACACAGGTGAATCTATCATGCCGATGCTATTGGCTATGTAAAACACAGCAATCAACAAAATACACATGTTGAATGTTTTAATCGAAAGCGACAAATTTAACACATACAAGTTGAGCAACTAAAAGGAAATACATTAATCTAGATTGTCATATAATTACAAAACCTTAATTGTCCATTCCAGTGACAATGTCCCAAAAATATTTACGAAACATGTATAGTTAGACTAAAACCATGAACAAACCCCAACACACTACATCCGATGGGTTACTATCTCAACAGACGAAAAGCTTCTAGCAAGTACGATTGGTTTGGTTTGGTTTAAGGACGTGCCTCCATGTGTGTAGTGTGTGCGTGCTTGCGTGTGTGTATACAGAAAACAGTGTATGTTGATGTGCTTGCATCCTTGTGATAGCGCGGATCTGATGCCGACTTTATAGTGCTCACCAAGCACAGCATTCCACCCGATCATCGGGTGAACCAGTTGTTGCCATTCCCCTTAATACTGAACGTTAAGTAGGGAATAACAACTACCAGTTTTACGGACTTTCGTATGTCCCGGCCTAAAGACAGAACCCAGTGCCTTCCTCACCTGGGCGAACGTCTAGCAAATCAGAAAAACTTCAATAGAATAACGTACCTTGCATTCAAAAACAATTTCAAAATAACGTGATATAGTTTTCTGCAACTGCGAATTAAGTTTTTAGTAAATAAGGATGTAATCTAAGATATCAACAACACTAAAGCAACTACAGAATCATTTGGAATGTTTCAACAATCAGTCTCGGGTAATATCTAAACTATCAAGAAATCAAATCGTGTAAAGCTACCCATGTACACACTCAGTTGAAGTAAATGGAATTCAACTGATCCAATAATATCAGGTTATCCTATCAAAAGTAAACAGTATCGGAAAATTCGGAAAACCAAATGACTACTCACTGTGTCAGATCCATGCACAATTTTCTCCTATGACGGGCAAAAGTTCACCAGCCAACACTGAAGCTGTGAAGAGAAAAAACATCAGTAATGCTTAGAAGAACAACTAAGTAGGTAAATATCCAAATCCGCACTATAAGACCAACCCGTATACGACCCTGGCTGTTGTGAGGACGTTAAACCCAAACAAACAACTAGACGAATCAAATACAGAGTATCAACAAAGCTAGTTCTACTGATGGGCAGACGAAACCCAAACAACAAGCTAATCTAACATGTGTCGCCTGTGCAGGCAACTCTAATGAGAAAGCAATCCCAAGCAAGCACTTTTAGTAAGGAATCGAAGCAACGTATGTCAAGTGTGATACGCCAAAACGCGGAAAGTTGAAATTTGACAGAAAAACCTGTAATATATTTTAAACACTTTCCCTTCTAGCATTACCTTACACAATTTGAAAGGAATTGATTAAAAAATAAACATACAAATGTAGTTCTTGCATTTATTACACAATGCCCTTATTTAGCAATAAAAGGGGCATAACTCCACCAAAAAAGCACGTAAACCTTTTAAATGCCAACTTGTCCGAGCTATATACATGTAGGTAAGCAATATGTGTACCAAGTAATCAACCTGGTCATCGTACGGAAACCTTGTTTCGGACGACGCAACCGCGACGCCGACAAAGCAATACCTATAGGTCGCCTTGTGTTGCAGGCGACACAAAAAACAGGAGGTTCTACGCACCCAGATCTCGAACTTAACTTAAATAAGACCTATTGAGCACCTAAATAAATTTGAGCAAGATATTCATCATACTCTTGAAATAAGAATCATAAGGATAAATCATCAGCTTGGGACCATAAAAACTTACACTGAAGGTCATAAGGATAAATCATCAGCTTGGGACCATAAACACTTACACTGTAGATCATAAGGATAAATCATCAGCTTGGGACCATAAACACTTGCACTGAAGATCATAAGGATAAATCATCAGCTTGTGACCATAAAAACTTACACTGAAGATCATAAAGATGAATCATCAGCTTGGGACCATAAAAACTTACACTGAAGGTCATAAGGATAAATCATCAGCTTGGGACCATAAAAACTTACACTGAAGATCATAACGATAAATCATCAGCTTGGGACCATAAAAACTCACACTGAAGATCATAAGGATAAATCATCAGCTTGTGACCATAAAAACTTACACTGAAGATCATAAAGATGAATCATCAGCTTGGGACCATAAAAACTTACACTGAAGGTCATAAGGATAAATCATCAGCTTGGGACCATATAAACTTACACTGAAGATCATAAGGAAAAATCATCAGCTTGGGACCATAAAAACTTACACTGAAGATCATAACGATAAATCATCAGCTTGGGACCATAAAAACTTACACTGAAGATCATAACGATAAATCATCAGCTTGGGACCATAAAAACTCACACTGAAGATCATAAGGATAAATCATCAGCTTGTGACCATAAAAACTTACACTGAAGATCATAAAGATGAATCATCAGCTTGGGACCATAAAAACTTACACTGAAGGTCATAAGGATAAATCATCAGCTTGGGACCATAAACACTTGCACTGAAGATCATAAGGATAAATCATCAGCTTGTGACCATAAAAACTTACACTGAAGATCATAAAGATGAATCATCAGCTTGGGACCATAAAAACTTACACTGAAGGTCATAAGGATAAATCATCAGCTTGGGACCATAAACACTTACACTGTAGATCATAAGGATAAATCATCAGCTTGGGACCATAAACACTTACACTGTAGATCATAAGGATAAATCATCAGCTTGGGACCATAAACACTTACACTGTAGATCATAAGGATAAATCATCAGCTTGGGACCATAAACACTTACACTGTAGATCATAAGGATAAATCATCAGCTTGGGACCATAAAAACTTACACTGAAGATCCGACTTTTACGAAATGCAGAAACAGGGCTACTACTTCGAAAATAATTCTATATGGATATGTGGATAGTGCCAACATCATCAGTGGAGAAACAATCAAGACAAAATTCAGCCATCCCATACAGACAAGCATATTGAATAAAATATGCGTTTGTCCGTCTTTATTCTGTGCCTGTCACCACCACTGATCATCCAAATACATTCCGTACCTTAGGCGATCATCCGTCTTACTCAGTATTCCACAGTACACAACCAACGCGTTTATGAAACGCAGAGGCAGGACTACTACTTCGCAAATAATACCGCCTCAAACGTCACTCCCTGAAGTCAGGGGACTACATGGAGAGTACCAACAACATCAGTGGAGCAACAACCACGACAAAGGTCAAGCATCCCGTATAGAAAAGCATTACGAATAAACTATGCATTGGGCCGCCTTTATTCTGTGCCTGTCACCACCACTGATCATTCAAATAAATTCTATACCTTAGGCGATCAACCAACAAGAACGTAGTAAAAGTAAAACACGGGCCGACACCACCTCAATGGGGAACGAACGACAACTCCATCAAATATCTGCTCACTGTCCACGACACCGGACCAGGTAGAAAAGGGATTCCGACAGAAGGAATTATCTCGAAGTGTTGTGTAACATACAACTGTAGTTGTGGGAAATATGAACAATCATAGAATGCCGATGAGCAACCTTTGGATACAAATATATCAAACATAACTGAAATATCTACTCCGAACACAAGTGAATGGAATAATCACATTCCTAATACAAACCTAAAAGTCCACTTGAAACAATAATCGAAAAAAATCGAATTTGCATTCCAATCAGCATATTTATTGGGTGTCGCTACCGTATCTAGAAAAGATAAACACAAAGAAATCCTATATGCCTTATGAATGCCAACATGTCTATCTGAAATAACGCTACGCAATACATGTATGTACAATACATAGCAAAATTAGAGACGATCTCCTATGGAGACTTGATACATACTTATTGGTCCACATCCCGATGTGATCGCATCACACTATAGGGGGAAAGTGTGAAAGAGATATAGAGAGGAGTGAGTTAATAATAATGATCGCCAAAATAAATATCCCCCCCCCCGACCCCCCAATTATTATATATACGAGTAATCATTGGGGGGTCATTTTTACCGAAAGTCGATCTAAACCCCTAAAACATGTAAAATTACTTTAAACACCTCAGTTTAGGTGCAAATATAGCAATAACAAATTAGCAGGTCCCTGTGCATCAGATCATGTGTGCCATTGCTAGTTAAGATCATCTAAATATCAGGATACACGCAAGACCTAGTTCGGACGACCCAGATAAAAACAGAGAAACTGTGGCAGTATTATATCCAAAACAGAAGGACTTTTTTCATCGTGGTTTAAATTCCTTGCAAAAGCTAAGGTCAAATTAATAAAAAAAAAATGTGACTAGGGAGACACCGCAAAACAGGTAAAGGTGCAAAAGACCAGACAAGATATAGGTGTCAAGCGATGCAATGGGGCCAGCGGAGGAGCGATTTTGTTTTTTTCAATGTCCTCTTAGTAAGAACCACAGAACAAAACGCCGATTCTGCAGGAATTCCCATATTAGTTGCCTTTTAACATATAGTAAGATAAAGCTGATCTATTATTTCCCTTCACCCGCAGGGGGTTACTCCAAAAGATTACAAGGTTCCAAAAAGGGAAGCCAATTATCAGCTCTGCAGTGAAGGAAGCAAGATCAGTAGAAAAAAAAACTTAGCAACACAACAGGCTAGATGATATGCCTCGCAATGAGATGAGCACCATAAAGGCACAGGAATATTCATCAAGATCAAGAGACACCAAACTTTTCCATAAACTGGTTAACTTAACAAACAAAAACAAAAAAACAGAAAAACACAGACCTACACGGAATCAAAAGAAGTATTAAAGCGATGGCCAAATTATTTCAAACAAATAGCGAACCTTGCCGTAACAGAGGACCAAAAGTCTTCAGCGACACGTCTCGTAACTATACAGGAAAAAGATTCATCATAAAAGAGGACAAGATCCTTAACAGATTGGAAGTGTCAGACATTGAGGGGATCGCGATAGAACACCTACAACATGTAAACCCTCACATCGGACTCATTCTAGGACGTTTAAAATAACACAAGGCATGAAAGGGGGATATAAATATATATTGATATGAACTCTATAGATAGTAAAAAATCGAATTACATGGATTCACCTCAAACAACGTCTTTTTAAATGTCATCAAGGTCATCACATCAATGATAGAATTGACATAAAATCAAAAACAGAAATCCCATACAAAACGGCGTTACAACAGCTAGGAGCACCCCCACCCCCTAAGTCTACAACATCGGATATTATTTTCTGCTCCCGTATGGACACCCACATCGCCTATCCTACTTGTGCAGATGACACAACTGTTTCCCCTGCTATTAGTCCTGTCCATGGAATTAAGACAAAGAGCAAAGAAGGTCGTATTGTATCTAAGCATCTCTTGAAATAAAGGAATATCAAACAAACCCATAAAAATATGATAAAACCATATTATACTCTACTTGGCAATAGCCTCAACGCGTAGAAATGGGTACACATACATTGTCTCTGGGGAAATATAAGGCCTAGAAATATCGCGCCTTACGAGATGCAAAGAAGACCAACGTTTATTCCAAAGATTAATGAATAACCTTCGCCGAGCGTGCGGTAGCTCCTGGAAAATATTATCTTCTGTCACCCTGGACAATCAAAGAAAACTCACAAACAACACAGGAGTAGAACCGCATACTCCAGAAAGCCAAACATCACATAACATATAGGCAATTAAGTGTGGGAACAATTAGGACAAGCTGGCAGAAGTAAATGTATAACTGGTTACACAAACCTATAACCAACGACCTAGAAAGGAAAACTTCAGCAGTTTGAAACAGTGACATCTGCGTTATGTGTCACTTAGAAGAGGAGGACCATCCTATCTGTTGGTTCCATTTGAATGTACGCCTCTGATTTCTCTCCCTATATTTATTCCCTCTTCATTTCTTCTTCCCAATTTCCTTACATGTACTTACTTACCCATCAGTTAAATACCTTATTTCGATAATTTAGTCAAAAACAAATATTGTCATTGAAATTAACTAATAGCATTTCCTATCTTTAAAAAGGCAAAAAAGTCAGTATCTAACTTTTTAGTTTAAACATATTTTATTGCCAAGCAAATGGATTGGGCACAAGTAATCAAACTTATATTAAGCCCTTTCCTAACAAATTACAAGCATATATTTACAATAGTATAACAAGATGGCAGAATTAATATACATATATACACCATTTCATTTTTAAATGCTTTAATTTATAAATTCGAAATTATAAGAGAGACAGAGAGAGAAAAGGGGGCAGGGGGAAGTGAGAGGGGGGAAAGGGGGGATAATTGTCTGTATTTATAATACATACATCCTCATCATTATTAATGTATGACATATAGTATCTGCCTCTTAGAGAGAGTGGATATTATGGTTCAATTGAGAGAGAGAGTGAGAGAGAGGGAGGACAGGGGGTGGGGTATCTAACTTGAGAATGTATTTAGCCATAACGATACATGAGATAAATAGACACTATTTTGGCAAATTGTATCTTTTACTAAAAGTTGTCCCCACACTCAAAATAACACGAATTCTAGTTTATATACAGGGACGTGCCTTTATCTTTCACGTTACGCCGTTCCTATAGATTCTATATAAATTCCTTCTCAGCTATAACGTCCTAATTTGATTTATTTTTTTTACAAAACTTGAAAATATCTAAGTCCATGATAAAATCAAACAAACAAACAAAACAGTGACAACTGATAAAAAAAGTTCTTCCTATATTGATTAAGGCCGAAGATCTTGTGAAACAAAACGAAAAATACATTGCAACTAGTTTGATGTCAAACCGTAACTTGACTTGACTATCGCCCCTGCGCCAGAGGCATGGACTCCCATGCCTATCATTTCTACATGAATTTATTTTTAAGTCAAAAAGCGCCACTACTGTGCCTACGTTTTATTTAGTTAATAAAAGTGTGTTTATATTCGTCTAAAAATAAAGACTGCATTCTCTGGTAGCTAGCCGTTGTTCGGAGTGGATTCATTTACTAGGAGCGGGCCCAGACTCCAAAGCAGAGCCTTGGTAGCCGGGGTAAGGGGGGCAAGGGGTGCAACAAGCAGTGTGTTTTTTACCATTATTATTAGGTGGATTCATCTGCATACCAGCGTGTAGGCAGCTAGTTACGCGCCTGGTTATCATATAGCACAGGCCCCTGTGCATGGAGAACCCCGGAACTTTGCCGTAACACGACAGTTCCGGCTCCGGTTCTTATTTGTTTATTGACGTGATAAACGTCATCGATATTTGTGTACACACACGCATGTTGCAACATCCCCACCATGGATGACAGTGATACAAAAAACTTGGTAAACGGTGAGTTATTTATCATTATCATAACTGTAAAGTTCCCATTAGTCTTTTAATGATCTTATGTTCTCGGTTATATATAATTTGTTCGTTGTTCAAAAGGCACATTTTCTAAATTCCGCTAAATAGAGTGCCAGCTGGCAGCATTTCTGTTTATGATAACGCTCTGTACATCAACGGCCCTTTCGGCACAGCTCAGGAGCTACATAATAAGTTTGTATAATTTCCTGATTGACAGGACCATTCAGTGTGCGTTAAGGCTGGTTTATAGCACTAAGTGTTTTAGCCGCACTGCCGCAGACAGGTAGCTATAGACACCGGTATACGTACTGTACAGCTGTACGAGAACGCCATCGGTCTAGAGTCAGCTGAGAGTAGAGGGTCAGAAATGGCCATGTACTGGACATCTGTTTTATTCATTCACCTTACCCACCCTCGCTCTGTCTGAACAGTCTAATGAATCAAAGGAACACAACTGTTTTGAGCGAATTAAATAGTCGTTAAAGAAAAAAGTGTAGTATCATAATGATTGTTACATTTTTTCGTGTAGAATTATTAATTTGTTTCAAATCATTTAGACATATATACTATGTATATGATTTGACAGATGAACTATTTAATCAACAGTAAACAAAAACATTAGTATTCATGTGTTTGTTTACACTACATGGTCCTTAGATTACATAATCATCTCATATATTTTGGTGAGCGTAAGCATGCAAATTTCGTAAACATTTACTGAACTTTCTGGGAAATTTAATTACATGCTCCATACATAACACGTCACCATAACATGGTCAGAAATGGAATTATAGGTGATTTAGAGTCATACAAATAACATATCGTCAGATGTTGCTTACTATATTTAGTATTATAGATATTATCAAACAATTAACGCTCTGTTAACTTTGCAGATCAATACACATATGTGACATGCTGTCAATCATAAATAAATTTAATTTGTTAAAACTCAAACCAGTTTTCACACATATCGAACTGATACTTGATATACAAGTGTATTACATTCACATGAAAAACATATCTTCTAATGTTGCTTCCCTTAATAAGGGCCCGAGCTAGCTGCGTCGGAGAAGCAGGTGTCCTACATGTATATATATAGTAATCACAGTGTCCATCTGTCCGTCCAATTATCTGTCTGGCCAAACTTTTGTTTCTGTAGATTATCTCAGAAGTCAAAAGAGACTAATCTCTTTGAAATATTTTATGGTGATACACTGGAATATATAAATATGCGATAGGTGTGTAAAAAGTTACTTAAGGTTAAGGTCTAGGACACACTTACTATAAAATAGACCATATTGTGGGACCCCTGCTTCACTGTTTAGTATTCTTCAAGTTTAAGTCAGGCGATAGTTCTTATCACTTAACCTTTTAAGTATCACCCAAATAAAATATTGGATTTTTTTTCCTTTGGGCATGTATACGTATATGAACTCGTACAAAAGTAACCCCCCTGACTCGGTATAACAATTTGTTTACTGTGTACATGTCATGTCATGGAGGTTAACACTGGAAACAGGTTTTTTTTTCTGATTCATGTTGTCAGCTAATTATAATACCATAAAATAAAAATAGCATTAAGATATTCTATAGTTTTCGAAGTTTGAGAATATAGTGCATATAAAGCAATACATCATTTAGAGGAGAAAAGGACATGATGTCACTCTGAGTGACAAAATCTGTAGTAAGCTCGTGAGATTTTGGGAGATGTACATGCAAGTTTATGCCATGTTTGAAATGACTTTTATAGACTTTGCCTGTTATCGGACCATTTTGTTTTGCAGCAACAATTTTCTTAGGTTGAAAAACTGAAATCATCTAATTATTTTACAATGTGTGTTTACATCAAAGATAAATCCTTTTTATTAAAGAACTGCCAGCACAAGGTTTAGCTGCACACGGAGATGCAGGTTCCACTTTACAACCTTCAAAGGCGAAGAACATAACGGAAGTGCACAATGAGGAGGAATCCGAGAGTAAAGTGACAGATATGGACAATAAGCCACTACCACAGGAACCAGATGGAATAGAAAGTGGGTCTTCAGAATTTGAAGGTTAGATTAATATATTTTTCTTTCATTTTTTTTTTTTTTTTGCATATATGTTGTAACATTTTCTGTCTATGTCTTTTTGTTTTATTTGAACAGGTGACAAAATGCGTTCATTTGGTATGTTGTACATATATTATTGGAAATTTTAAAACTGATCTTTCTTACAAAAAAAATATGTTTTTAAATAGCCACATGATTTCATTGAATGTAAGATATGCAGGAACATGCAAGAATTTTTTATCTTCAACTGATTCATGGTTAGGTGGACAGTGTGTTTACATGATGTAATTGTTGACCGAGAAAGATTTAGTGTAAGGGAGGTAAGAAGGGTTATATCTTGTCAGACTGGGATCTGACATGTACATCAATGACAGTTACAACTTCCTGGTACAAGTGTCATAGAAAATCAAGTTAGATACACTTGTTGATACACTTGTTAGATGTACACAAGGTCAATATTGTATCCTGTTTACTCATGCAGATATTATTCATGTTTATAACAACTCAATGCTATTGATGATGATTTGAAGTTGTATTCTTGTAAACATCTAGTTAATTTAATCTGATTGTATCCTACTATCAAACCATTTTTCCTGAGCACATTTGCTACCTAAATCAGCCACTGTAGATGGAAAGAAAGGTGGCTTATGTAAAGTGTAGACATTGCTCACTGCTAAAAGTTTAAAGTGTTTCTAATTTTTAAAAGTGTTAGGAAGCATAACCAGCAAAACCGTTTGAACACAATTGTTCAAAGTTGATATTATAAATAAGATTATCAGGTCCTTGAAAAATTCCAGATATATTCTATCTTAGAATTAAAGTTTAATATTTTTGTATGGGGTGGGGGTTGGATGTTCATTTTGAATGTTGTTCCTGTAGTTTTCATTTTGAATTTCCATATTCTTGAAAAATGCTATTCCGTCTTTGCGTATTGTAGAGTTATATTCTCTTGAGAGCAGATATTGATTGTTACGTCATTTGTTTGTGAGAGTAACGTCATCAATTTTTGAGAAAATGACGTAATTTTCTTACACAAACCAATGACGTAACAATAAATACCTGCTCTCAAGAGAAGATAACTCTGCAATACGCAAAGACGGAATAGAATCTTTGTGATAACTTGATGTTAAACCTGTCAGGCTTTAAACAACTAGTTGGTCCTATGTGTTTGTACTACAGCATGATAGATGCGTCAATAGTAGTCGTAGACTAATGGTACGAAGTCGACAATGGTAAGTTAACGGTGAGTTAATGGTAAAATATTCTCTAATTTTGAAGGTTCTTGAGTAATTACCGTGATAATTCAAATTTATTCTTGTCACCAACAGATGATGAGGATGAAGTTGAGGATGGTGAGGATACTGGGGATGAGAGTGACATAGAGGACAATGATGAAGATGAGGCAATCAGAGCTGGTAGGGACCCTAACCCTACACTTCCCAGCACGGTCACTATTCTCTCTAACAACGCCGAAACAAAGGTCTACCTTGTTGGCACGGCTCACTTCAGCCACGAAAGCCAAGCCGACGTGGCAGAGGTATGGATAACAATATATTCTATGGAAAGGGATAACCTGAATCATCTTCCTGTAACTGATCCCTCACAGGTGTTCCAAATCCTGATTGGAACAATCCGTCACAGGTGTTCCAAATCCTGATTGTAACAATCCGTCACAGGGGTTCCAAATCCTAATTCTGATTGGAACAATCCGTCGCAGGTGTTCCAAATCCTAATCCTGATCGGAACAATCCGTCACAGGTGTTCCAAATCCTGATTGGAACAATCCCTCACAGGGAGACAATTATGAACAAACCCCTATATTGAAGGGCACAAATGTTTTCTTAAAGTGAAAAAATAAATAAAAAAAATAACAGAATTTTGTAGATTTCAAGGGTTTAGGATATCAGATATAGAAGACCAGACACTCTAGTTTTACTTCAGAAGACAAAATGTATTTCCGGTGGAGTAATGCCCCTTGATTGAAGCCCTGAAGGGTTGGTTCCCAGGTGTGTATGATATCCTATCATCAGGAGTGATAAAGGGCTACTGTATTATTCAAGATTGTTCCCTTGATGGACATCCTTTTTCCCAGGAAAAAGCTCTGTGTAATTACCAATTTCACGATTGTGTGACAAGTTTTAATAAAATAGAATAGTGTCTCATCAAAGTGAATATAATATTCGTAGTTATTTTTACTTTTTTAAATATATTGCACATGTCTATAACTGTACTTTGGTCACAATTCACTTAAAACTTTAATTAAAATAGTGTTACCACTGTTGGAAAATGTATCTGTACTCATATTAATTAAAAAGGTGTTAAAAATTCAATGTTTATGTTATTGAATAAACAATCACACCAAATACGCTCCAGGTGTGGATGATAAGGAAGTCAAATAAGTCGTGTACATTTGTCTTTGGTCAGACCATACAGAAGACCCAGCCAGACATTGTCATCGTTGAGCTGTGTGATAGCCGCGTACACATGTTACATCTGGATGAGAAACTTCTGTTGGAGGAGGCAAAGAACATCAACTTCCAGAAAATCAAACAGACCATCAATGAGGTATGGTATTAGATAATTGTGTGTCACCTGTACTCATTATCAAGTGATAGTGTTGTATTGATGGTGGATAGTGAGTGACTGTCTCGTTCAATCTGTCAGATACCTTTACAGTTCACATGTATGATATCACATGTATGTATGAATATATTGGTGATATATTTTGTTTATTCACAGTAAACCATGAAACATGTTTTGTCTTCTTTTATTAGACTAAATTGTCTATGCAGAAGCAGTCGAATGAGCTTTAGAAGTGCGGGCCATATCTATTTGAGGCCCAAGACAGGATACCTTTAGCAATTCAAGCTTTAGTAGTATGGGGCCATATTTATTTGAGGCCCAAGACAGGATACTTATCAGCTATACAAGCTTTAGTATTGTAGGGCCATATTTATTTGAGGCCCAAGACAGGATAATCATGAGCTATGTAGAACTTGAAATATTTCTCAAACTAATGAGATAAACCAATTACATGTATGGGCTATTTCAGTTTGGGGCTAAGATTCAGTAACATCCCAACTTCTGCTTGCCCCTCTTTTAAGATTATGAAACTGAATCTTTACTCAATCTCACTCGGTTACAAGTAATAGATTTCATTGATCCGGGCAAAGAGTGTAAATTCACAGCTTAACGTATCTAAAATATTTTGGAACCTAAATATAAAAGTTTCAAAGAAATGAGAAGTGTTTTATATTTGACAAAGTGTTTAGTCAGACAATATGTGTATATTAACAGATGGATACCCTGGTTATATTATAAGGAGCATCTTCAGACATTTTACTCTTGCATTGCAAAAATAAGTGTAATTTAGCATTGAATCCTCATTTGGAAGTGTTTGTGCAAGCTTTAAGGCGTAAAGATCATTTTGATGTCTTTGTTTATGTGAAGTATATGCATTTGTTCAGATAAAGAATTAATTACTCAATTATGTAATTATCTATTCAGCTCAAATTTTGTACATTTCAAGATTATCAAACCATGCAGTTACATAGTAGGTATCTCAGTACATAAAACCTCGACAAACTAACAACCCACATATCAAATACATTTCATTACAACAAAAGCAATTGTATAATACCAAAAATCTGCTTTAAGTTATAACTCCTGTAAAAATGTTAAATATAAACTTTATTTATTTTAGAACAATTATAAAACAAGTTTTTTTTCAACTTATATTAATCACTCTTGTTGGCCCGGATGTTAGCATGTGGGGGGTCTTAGTGTGGGAGGAAACTGGAGTATCCGGGGAAAACCCACATGATCGGGTAGGTGACCCCAACCTTTTCACGTCCGATCAGGGAATCGAACCCCGGCCGTTTTGGTGAAAGGCAAGTGCCCTATCCACTGCACAACCCGACCACCCAAAAAATGTAAAAATGTTGATGTAATACTTTTGAAGTTTGTTTTTAGATGATTTTTTATGGTCTTTGAAATTATGCAGTGAAGTTGTATGAGACGATTCCCAATGTAACGTGTATGTATGCTAAGTAAATAAAGAATATATTACCGTATTACAGATAGGATATGTTCAGGGTATAGCCTACCTACTGCTGCTCAGAATGTCGGCACACATCGCCAAGGAGCTGGGCATGGCGCCAGGGGGAGAGTTCCGACAGGCCTTCAGAGAGGTCAGTTTTATCGTACAATGTACGGTGTTATCCAGTGAATAAACACATGTCATATTTTTGTTGCGTATTAACCCATGTAATATGACCTATCAGCCCTGTTTCTATTGTGACGTCACGTCTAGGACAAGTACATGATGTCACAGACTTACGCACTGGAGTCAAAATGGCAGCTTTTTACATTTCAAAGTTGCATGAAAATTGTCATTTTATACGAATAAATGCCACAAATCTTGATTATGTGATAAAAAGGATCTTACACACATTTGCATTCCATATGAAATTTATGAAACTTGTCACACATTTTTCCATTTAGCTCCCCAGAGTCTCGCTAAATTGAAATATTCTTAGACTTGTTTTCATAAATCTCATATGAAATGGAAACTCGTGTTAAATCCTATATATATGTCATAACAGATACAGTTTGGTAGGAAGACAGAACTTAGTAAAAATTACATTTCATCCCAACATAAAAAAAATATGGTTTATATGACTTATTATTTTCTATATCTCATCTGAGTAAATTATATAAGGAAGGGGTTCAGTTTAACATGTTTTAGTAACTGTGTACTAATTTAGACTGCAAAATAAAGTAAAGCACTTGACTTAAGGTTTAATTGAACTAATATTTTAATGTTACAGTTCAAAAGCTTTGGGAAACTTGAGTTGTTCAGAATAAAATAAACAATGCATGGTATGGTGTTCTATAAAACGCAGTTCAATTGTTTTCTTGAATTTCAGGCAAAGAAGGTTCAAGTGTGTAAAATGATAAAGCTAGGAGACCGTCCCATACAGATCACTATGAGGAGAGTACTCGCCTCCCTGACCTTCTGGCAGAAAGTCAGACTGGTGTGGCACCTACTTTTCTCTATAGACTATAAATACAGGTAAGGGGACCCCTGATGTTTGTATGTTGTCAGAAGGTGATAACTACTGCTGTTGTATGTTGTTATAAAGAGAAGATAACTAATGTTGTTTGTACACTATGCTATCTTAAGGAGAATATTACCTTACAGTTTGCATGGTGTATTGAGGAGGAGATAATTAGGGAAGATAACTCATGCTGTTATAAGGAAGAGGTTGCTCCTGCTGATTAAACAGTATACAATGTATTATCTTAAGGAGAGGATTACCTGGCTGTTTGTATGCTGTATTGAGGAGGATATAACACATTCTGTTTACTATTGTATTAAGGAGGAGATAACTCATCTTGTTTGTACAGTATATTATCCCGAGGAGAAAATAACCTTGCTGTCTGTATGGTGTATTGAGGAGGAGATAACTCCTACTGTTTGTATGTTGTAATAAGGGTGAGATAACCCACACTTTAATAAGAAGGAGGTAGCTCCTGCTGTTTGTAAAGTACATTCTCTTACAGAGAAGATTACCTTGTTTTTAGCTCACCTGGCACGAAGTGCCAAGTGAGCTTATGCCGTGGTGCGGCGTCCGTCGTCTGTCCGTCCGTCCAGCGTCCGGCGTGAATATTTTACTTTAAACGACTTCTTCTTAATAACCAAAAGGCTCAGGGTGTTGATATTTAGTTTGTAGCCTATGCTGGGATCAAGGACTAGTATGTTAGTTAAAGTGAATGACTTTGACTTATATTCAAGGTCACAAGGAGCCAATATGTTTAAAATATTTCAACAACTGCTTCTGAATAACCAAAAGGCTCAGGGTGTTGATATTTAGTTAGTAGCATATGCTGGGATCAAGGACTAGTATGTTAGTTAAAGTGAATGACTTTGACTTATATTCAAGTTCACAGGGGTCAAATATGTTAGAAAATTTAAACAACTTCTTCCCAACAGCTAAAATGCCCAGGGTGATGATATCTTGCCAGTAGCATGCTGAGATAAAGGGCTTCAAAGTGTGTTAAAATAAATGACCTTCACCCATATTCAAGGTCACAATGAGCAAATATGTTTAAAATATTTCAACAACTGCTTCTGAATAACCAAAAGTCTCAGGATGTTGATATTTAGTTTGTAGCATATGCTGGGATCAAGGACTAGTATGTTAGTTAAAGTGAATGACTTTGACTTATATTCAAGGTCACAGGGGTCAAATATGTTAAAACTTTAAACAACTTCTTCCCAACAGCTAAAATGCCCAGGGTGATGATATTTGGCCAGTAGCATGCTGGATGAAGGGCTACCAAGGTTGTTCAAATGAATGACCTTCACGCATATTCAAGGTCACAGGGGTCAAATATGTTAAAAACTTTAAACATCATCTTCTCGATAACCAAACTGCCCAGGGAGATGATATTTGGCCAGAAGCAAACTGGGATGTAGGGCTACAAAGTTTGATAGAATTAATGACCTTCACCCATATTCAAGGTCACAAGGAGCCAATATGTTTAAAATATTTCAACAACTTCTTCTGAATAACCGAAATGCCCTGGGTGATGATATTTAGTCAGTAGCATACTAGGATCAAGGGCTACCAAGTTTGTTCAAATAAATGACCTTCAATTATATTCAAGGTCACAGGGGTCAAATATGTTAGAAAATTTAAACAACTTATTCTGAATAACCAAAAGTCTCAGGATGTTGATATTTAGTTTGTAGCATATGCTGGGCCCCCCGACTACTATGTTAGTTAAAGTGAATGACTTTGACTTATATTCAAGGTCACAAGGAGCAAATATGTTTATAATATTTCAACAACTTCTTCTTAATAACCAAAAGGCTCAGGATGTTGATATTTAGTTTGTAGCATATGCTGGGATCAAGGACTACTATGTTAGTTAAAGTGAATGACTTTGACTTATATTCAAGTTCACAGGGGTCAAATTTGTTTAAAATCTTTAAACAACTTCTTATGAATAACCATGGGTCCCAGGATGTTTATACTTTGCAAGTTGCATCCTGAGATGAAAGGCTATACAATGTGTTCAACATAATGACTTTGTTCGACTTTCAATCACAGTGGTGAAATGTTTTAAAAAGAATTAACAGGGTCTTTTAAATGAATTTTAATCATAAATACTGATATTTTGCCTGTAGCTTTATTTTAGATCACTTTTAAGGTTACAAGTGTGAGTTTTATACCAGGTGAGCGATGCAGGCCCATTGGGCCTCTTGTTTGTATGGTGTATTGAGGAGGAGATAACTCCTAATGTTTGTATGTTGTAATAAGGGTGAGATAACCCACACTTTAATAAGAAGGAGGTAGCTCCTGCTGTTTGTAAAGTACATTCTCTTACAGAGAAGATTACCTTGCTGTTTGCATGCTGTAATGAGAAGGTAATAACTCATTATATTTGTATGTTGTATTGAAGAGGAGATACAGTTAGCATGGGCCAACTTATATAAATATGTATGATGTAATTTTATTTTTGTGTTGCAGTAAGGAAGATATAGAGAAATGTAAAGACCGAGATTTACTAGAACAGATGCTGAAAGACATGGCGGGAGAGTTCCCTGCCCTTGCCAAGGTTGTTGTCGAGGAGAGGGACACCTTCCTAGCATTCAGCCTAAAGAATGCTGCTGTCACCTTCAGAGAGTACCAGAGAAAACATGGTACGGAGAAGAATAAAGGTATCTTAACACTGAGTTTAATTGTTTTTCACCAAAATGCAGAGCAGGGACACGGTGGTGACCTCTGTCCATCCATCTGGTCAGGTCTACATTCCCACACTGCCTAACTATAGCACAAGCTTTTATTCAACTTGCATACAGCTTATGTGTATGGCAGTGATGTGTATGCAGAAATCAAATAATGAGAGATTTGTTCCTTTTTTTCCTTTCAAAATTTCAAGATAGATATACATTGGTTTGTCCAGAATGTACCTCTCTTGGTGTAGGATAATGAAATTCTTGTTTAGATGAAGTGTTATGTACCAAAATCAGTCACTCTGCCCTAAATTGTTACACTGACCTACATAATATTGATAAATTGCCTAAAAGAGGGCATCTTTGTTACTCTGAGACACAAGATCTTCAAACTTGTGTGCAAAAGTATATTATGTTAGAAAGATACATAGTCATGCATCACAACTGGGTCACTCTGACCTACATTTCACATCTATTACGGAAAAAAATTCCAGATCAACCAGGGGCTTTACTGCGATTGGTTACAACCACAAACAGGCTTACTGCCAGTAAAGCAAGAACTGAGCTTGTCATTTAATGGTACCATGCATTTTCTGTATGTTTCTAAGGGAAAGAGAAAAAACATTTAATGCAGTCTTGATTGCAAAGAAAATATAAATAGTTTTTAGATGATTACACAGTCAATGAATGAGTACTGCTAAAATAAGTGATATTTATTGTTTCAGCCTTAGCTCACCCTGTAGTGGTGGTTGGCGTGGTGGGGATAGGACATGTGCCTGGTATCATAGCCAACTGGGAACAGTACCGACATAACATAAAAGAAATTACAACGTAAGTCATCAGGTATTTGCTGTACATGAAATTTTTTTGCTCGTTAACTCTTCAACCCCTATGTAACTTTAGTAAACTCTACCATACATTGATCTGGATGAGTCCATTTTGGTTTACAGTAGTGAAAGGGTTAATAAAAAAAATAAAAAAATAAAATTTCTGGTTCAATACAATAATGTTATATTCTCACTGCATTTTGTAATCTTTTCTTGCATATTTTGAAATCAAGAACACTTGAAATGGTTGTATATGACGAATCTGTCATCAATTTCATCCTACTGTAGATATCTGTTTGAATACATAATGCCAAACAAAGCACATACTGTAAAAACATTTCAAACTCAACCTGATGCATGCAGCATAAGCTTACCTGCCCATAGAATCAGGTGGGTGAGACAGGTCCGATGTGACCTCTAGTGCACATTCGATAAACAATTCAATAGGTATCTATGAAATATGTAATGAAATAGAAATTTTAAGCTGATGGATTTATTTTCAGTGTACCCGATCAGTCCGTGTCTATAATCTGGAGAACGTTTGGATGGGCATTCAGGATATCACTTGTAGGAGCGGTCGGGATGGGCTGTTATAAGTTGTGTCGATGGACCTTCCCTATGCTAGCATGATAGGACTTCAGCTAGTAATTCTGGTTGTCTCTCTTTATACCGAATATGGCTGCATTTTAAGTTGGCATTACACACTCAGAGATCTACTCATCCGAAGACTTGAGCAGTCTTTTATTACCTAGTCAAAGTAATCGTCACATACAGAATGTTTCTGCCTAGTCAAAAAATGGTGTTATATGGTATATGCTTAATATTGAACCTCTTTATATGGTACTATCTCATTATAATTAACTTGCAGTTATAAATGTATACTGTTTGAATTTTGTTAAACATATACTTACAAGAAGTCAATCTCACTCAGATATGCTGGTAAACATTATCTAGAAACATGTACACAGGGTCAACAAACAGTTAAGTAGTCTTTTATTAATAAAAATTTCCATGAATAAATCTTTGCAAAAGTAAATTGATCTAACATAATTAACTCTTGCGTATATTATAGCAGTTTGTAAAAGGTCCTGTATGAGAAAACCTTCAGTGGTTTACCTGGTATGTTACACATATTTCTATCGTCCAATCAATCTTTCAATTTCAGTTTTTGGTCATACAGTACATTTCACCTAATATCATGTCTGTTAATGTCACTTTTCGGTTATTATCATGTTTTTTTGATGCACCATTTTTCCTGCTATATAATCTATGCAATTCAATTCTTTGTACACGTATTTAGATTAGTCAATCAGAGAATGGTACCCCGCTAGTATACATTTGAAACAGAATATTGTAGGTTCGGTTACAAATCTTTATAAACACAGAACAATCTGGAAAAATATAATGATATAATGACCTTTTATTATTTAATTTTGATTTATTTTCTGAATAGCCTATTTTTGAAAATATGAACACAAAAAGATTCCCTACTAATGAAATTTTCTTCTTTTCCATATTTTTGCCATTTTTGCTGGATGAATTGATTTTAAATGACGATAATACTCCTGTACAATACAGAATCACTTTACAAGTCAGTTATTGCTTCAGCTCATGACAATGAGGAACATTTGAACTGAACCAAGACAGTGGTGTCATCGAGTACTTTCATTGTTATAACTATCCTTTCCAAAAATCTCTCTTTTGCCATATTTTTTGCACTAATGTTCTTTTTTAATACACTGTATTTCAATTTTATTAAAGATCACATGGTTTTGTTCCTACATTTACAATAAGTTATTAAACTCATTCACCCCTGAAGACACATTTGAACTCTTCCAATTACAAGGTTGGAATAATCCATTAGGTAATTTCAGGGTTGAATGAGTTAAGTAGGAAAAAGATGTATATTCCATCAGTTTTTCATTAAAATCCTTTTGTTAGATTGACTTAAGGCTGGTTGTAATGTCTTTGATAAAACCAGCAGAAGTGACAATAAAGGGAGATAACTCATCAGTGTTGTGGTAAACGGTGACAGGAGAGATAATGATAATTTATGTGTTTGGTCTAGGGTGATACATTTGGTGCTATTCTCATAATGTTGTATATATACTAACTTATGTTTGTAGATTTATAATACACTAATATGTCTTGGTGAAAGTTGTTTGTTGATCACATATATTTTGTACCATTATTATAACATAACAATGTCTGAAGCTCTTTTCATTCTTTCTAGTTGTATTTTTTTACTTCAATTGTTTATCATACCTAAGTGCATATTTGTGTTCCAATGAAGCTGATATTCCCTGTTTCGTAGTGTTTATCTGATATATCTTTAGAGATATCCTGATATATCGTAAAGTTGCATTACTCTTAACAATTTGTTGTATACGTAACGTTTTTTCTGCTAATGTTATCTTTTTATGTTGTAACGAAGTGACAGTTTTCCTCTGCAGCTTCAAAATCATTTTTTATACCATGCTGCATCTTTTCTTAATCTTTATACAAGTTATATGAAAACATTTAACTCATTAAAGTAATATTAACTATGACTGCCAAGCATAAAACTCTAACAGTAGCTATGAAAACAGTGATTAAAATTATTAATGAATAGTATAAGTTTGGTAATTAACACACGCATCTTTGTTTGATATAAAGTACTAATGAATGAATACAATTACACTGAAACATGTTGTTTTTTCTAAAAACATGTTGTTTTTTCTAAAAACAAGTATTTATTATTTTCATGCAAGATTTTTTCAATTTTTATTAATACTTCATAACTTATCCAATATAATTTTTTAATGGGATGACAGTTAAATAGTTTGTTAAATTGATGCCAATGAATACTTTCGAAATCCACTCCGGAGGAATTGTGACATGATATAGACCCCATTCCCCTCCCAAACCTGACCAGGCCCGGTCATTGATATATACATTTAGTACTCACATTGGTGTACACTTTAAACCAGGGCCCATATTCATGAAACCGTTCTCATGCTCAACTCAGATCTTTTACTCAAGCCCATTTTCTTGTTCCAGTGATAAATTAATAAAATTTCACAATTTCTCAATGATTTGGAAGAATTTTAGAGAGACTAAACCAAATATCGCTTTTTCACAAATTACACTTGACCTTTTGGCCATGTCACATGACTTATGCAAATTGCAAGAAAGTTGGTTTGAGCACAAATTCCTTGCTTGAGCATGAGAATGGTTTCATGAAGGCCCAGAGCTTTACAATCGTAAGTCTGATGATCATGGCTGAAGTTTCAGTGAAGCAAATGGCACATTTGATTTCAAGACCTCCAGCCACACTGGAATGTTTGTAATGACCTGAAGTAATAACAAGGGTGAAGTTGCACAACTTTTTCTATCATAACTCACATTTTATTTTGCCTTGTAGCAAAGTAAGTCTTGATAAAATAGAACACAGAAAACCAAAACCCTGACTGTCCTTACTTTCAGTTATAGGAACCTCACTCCAGTCCCCCAATAAACTCCTTGCTTTAATACTGAGTGACAGATTATCCAAACAGATCGATGCTCATCTGAACCATTCATATATAATTATACTGGTATACAACATCATTCTGTATTATATAAAAGGTTGCTTTGTAGTCAAGTAAGTCTTTTCAACAAAATAGCCATTACCGGAATACCCATTACCCAATCTTTCAATTATTCGAACCTTGGTCCTGTCCCCCGATAAATACCTTGCTTTAATATTGTGTGACAGTTATCCAAACAACTGGTCATGCAAACCATATATGTCTCTCGTGTGATTTTGATGATCAGGTCTCAACTATAGTGTTATATCACATATTGTGAGACATGTTTGTAAGCGATACAAAGTTTAAAATTTATTCCATATTAAAACAAGTGTTATGCTTTAAAGAGTTTGTAGGTCTAAGGTAACTCACTCTAATGAAAATACATGAAATATACCAAAGAATGTTTAGTGCTAAGGTATATTAATTCAAATCTTTGTGATATGTCACATGTATAATTAAGATAAACCTTGGTACTTTTAAATAGTAGAACCATAATTTATGCAATGTACTGTATATGTAGACATTATGCAGAAGAGATGAGATTTTGCCATTGATATTTCTGTTTATTATATGTAATGTTACCATGGTATTGTTTTTTGAATGAAAAGTTAACATAAACGTTACATACAGTATGTTGTAATTGTTAACTCTTGGAGTGGATTTGTCAATTAGGTGAAAGAAATGTTATGTTCAGAAACTTAAGGAATTGACTCCATCCTCTAATTCAGAAAACATGATGGCATGTTACATCTTACAAATACCGCTATCTCTATACACTGTTTTAAAGAATGGAATATTTTCTGAAGTTCTTGATACAAAGCAACCATAAGGAAAATAAGAAAATATCTAAATAGGTAGAATCAACATTTTATGCCAAAAAATATATCCATATTACAATATGCATATAGACAGAAAGCTTCAGGGGATATCAGTATTAGACATATCGACAGGTAACTTACCCTGAAATTCATCCTCACATTTTTTTAAAGCGTTAAGAAGATTCTACTATCCTTAGCACAATCAGGTCGGTCTACTCTACATGCAGTTTTTACCAATGATAAATATACCAAATATACCAAGTGCGCATTGTGCAGTCAAATATTTTCAGAATTGTAAGGAATAAGAGCCCATGTTAAAGGAAATACTAAATTTGTAATATAACTAATCTAGAAATACATTTCATCTTACCTGGCACAACATTGCGGTGAGCTTATACTACAATGTAGGTTGCATCGACGGTCATCCATAACATATGCTTTAAAGAATAACTGGTCTAGATTTGGCTAAATTTGGTAAGGAGCATCCCTGAGCATATAACGGGGACAGCAGGTTTAGTAAACAAAGGGTGGGTCAAATAAGAGAATTTTGAGAAATCTATAAACATCTTTACTTTAATATGGCAATGCACTTTTGAACTACAGTAATCCGATATAGTATATAGACGGTACCTATTGCTGTTTGAGGCCTGATTGGAAATCCAAGAGGTCTACCATGTCCTTTCATTGGCTGGGGTATTTTCAATTTCTTTGCTTCCAGTTTTTCATTTTCGTTCTTAGTATTCCTTTCCTGTTGCTGAGAAGGTTTTAATTTTAGGGTTGCTTCCTATTTGGAATGAGACATTTTCTACAATAATTAAATTTCACCAGTACATCAAAGTTAACAATTGTTTTTGTCATTGCTTGATAACCTGTGGTAACTGTAAATGTAAAATTCAAAGTCGTCTACCAATGATTTTAAATTAGTGGAACTATTTTCATGTGTATCGTGTTATAAGACAGCATGTAAGCTATTCAGCCCCCATGGGCCTCTTGTTTAAATTCCTGCCCTTTCAGGTAAGCATACCAACGCAAACGATTTTTTAAAGGTGAGATAAAAATCATTACTTGTGTCTATAGTGCTATATTGATTGCCCACGTTTGTTGCTGGCTAGGCCTCGTTAAGGCTGTGCTGGGTGATACAATAGATAACCAACACGTCGGGTGTTTTTAGCCAGAGAAAGGAACAACCATCCTTGCCACATCGGTATTCGCATGAAATGGTTAAGCTTTATATAGTCTTATGAAAAAACGTGCCATTTTCATATTCTGTTTAATGATCGTCTTAGAAATGCGTTCGGGCTTATGAGGAAACTCATTAAGATTACTGGCAATAATTCCAAATTTCTTTATCCTCAACATTTTCTGGGTTTTTTAAATATATATACATGTACACATGACATGATATCAAATCCCGATAATTTTTTCAATTCAGTTTTTAAAGGAAAAAATTATCACGGAGCAAAGATTGCCTTTGAAATTTGCGGCTGTTCCAGGACATAAAATGACGTTTAATAATGACAGGGATTGACGTTGTCATGCGCATTTGGGTATGTCTGTAACAACGTTACTGTCCGGACTATACTGTGAAAGGTGCAGTCATATGTCCTTATTAAATAAGTACAGCCCGTTCCGACTCATTTGATTGGTGACAGCTGTCGTAATACGGTCCTACAGGACTAGCTCTTCGATCTCGTCACACTCTTGACTTACAATCCACGTACTCGTAATTTGTTACAGAAATCAATAGGTGATATTTTCCGGGAAAAATCTAGGAAAAAATCTTCGTCCCATCAGATAAGCATTTTTAATGATTCTGTTATGTCGATTGATTTGATGTAGTGGACTTGGTGGCTAGTACCACATTGTCTCGTTGGTACAATGTAACACGCGTGTTACATTCTGATTGCCGTGTCACTTGCGTTTGATGCCCTTGAACAGGAAGCTGACTAGTGATTCCTTTTGATGCTATCAGAATCGCAGGGGCGTGTCACACAGTGTGTAGCTGAAGATAAATAATGGACACCACAGTTTGTAAAGTAATATCTACTTTATATATACTTTGACACCCCTTTATATGTAGCATGCGTCTGCATATCACATGTCCCTGTGATCAGAATAGTATCGTATGCATGTTCATTTATATTGGACAATATTCATTAATTACTTGTACCGTTGTGTCGTTTTATTGCCTGATTTGGAACTTTATAGATTAAGACATTGCTTTTTATCTTTCAAATATCCCTCTCTTCATGGTGTTACAAGTCAATGCTTCCATCTTCACGACACTTTTCGACGCTAAATCTTCACGCCGCATTGATAATGCCGACATTATCAATATTTGGTGCGATACTTGGTGTAGAGAGTATACCTTGGCACTGTTGGCACTGTTAACATGAAGTACTAGTTTTAAAAAACTGTTTGAAGAATAAATCATCTGTTGGAACCAAACATATCTATGTGTAACGTTATTAAGGGGTTAAAAGGCTCCTTCCCCCTTTGTTGTACAGACTTGTAACATTTTTTTTTTTTTTATTTTTTTTAACCACGAATGGCCATATGGTGCAGCACAAATGTTTACGTTGTTAGCTTTCTTCATAAACTTTAATTTCTATTTTACTTTTATAGAAACTCCTTCACATGTTAGGGTTATGTCTCCATGTTTGGAACAGTCAATCCACGTGGGGAACATTCCCTGACGTGTAGGGATTATTCCATCGTGTAGGGGTTATTCCATCGTGTTGGGGATTATTCCATCGTGTTGGGGATTATTCCGTTACATGTCGAGACCATCCCATCATGTAAGGTGATTCGCCATGTTTGGGATCATAGCGAGGCTAATGTTTGGGATCATAGCGAGGCTATCATGACGCCCACGATTCTGTTTTGTGTGGTAGTTTTATGTAGGTAACGGAGATAACAGAATTGTAAATTGTTTATTGTCACTGTGTTGTTGTTACGGATACAGATATATATTCATGTTAATCATACTAAATTAAAACAGTTGTGAGTTTTTGTAATAAATTATATCATTATATTATACAGTGTCCAGTGTCAGGTTTTGTTGGACGTCTTCGAGGAGCTGATTTAATTAGTATATAGACCCTGTGCATTGTGATGCCATATGTAACATTTCTTAAAAGAATGAGACTTTTCAATATTTCTGATCATATTCTCATAATGCTTGGTAGTGCATCTTGGAATTGATTGAACGTATCTGTTAAAAGCTTCAATCCTGATATTTACTTTCAATGCAACAGCAAAGAAAATAGAATTATAGCTTAATGACTTGTTGATACATTTTATGAAATGGTTGAATGTCGTGTTTTCTATAGTAGGTATCATGTTTAGATACTGAAAGGTTGTGAAATAACCATGAGCAAGTATTAAACAAGGCATAGCTGAATCGAGTCATTTTGGTACATATATATGCAACGACAGATTGTACATACGCGGTACGCTTACACCGTAGCCGAATCGACATCGATTTATGGACAACTCGTACATATTTTGAACCATAGTGTACACACTCTCCACTGGTCATTTGTCTGATGAAGGTGACAGAGTACATACCGTACTAGTCATCGAAACGTCAAATAAAAACTCTTATTGGTTGTGTTACAATGATAACACTGTACTATGATAACACTGTTTATAATACGTAAATATACTCCCTACTTTATGTAGATACACAATATGCAAGTAATGATACGCTCCATTAAAACTTCACATAATTATACAGAATTATACATTGTGGTAAAAAATTCCATTTCACTTAATGATATCTGACAGTAACTCATTTACAGTACATTACATCTCCAGCACACACGCAGGCTACACACAAAAGGAGATATTAGCCAGGTGGCATAGGACTAGTAGTTAGTGCCTGATAAGGCAGCTCCTGCGAATTCCTCAAAATTGCATTGATTAATGTATATGCTAATTTTATTAATTATATATATATATATGTACTGTAAAGCGCGTTAGAATTGCTTATGTTAGCTAGATAGGGCGCTATATCAAATAATTTAGACTTCGGTAATAATATGACTGGACACCAGGTCATTTGTCTCTTTGAAACTTTCAATCTCGTAACTTTAAATTGATATGCTGTAGTCTTTGTTTATCAAGCTTTCTAACCTTCTTTAATAATTATTTCAGCTTTATTAGTTTAAGAAAAATGCAAACAACAAAACAGCGAACATGATCCCCGCGAAAAATCACTTAACAGTAATAAAAGTTTTTAGTGTAATTATTTGATGTCGAATTTAATACAAAGGAATGTAGTGAACAAGATATCCACTATATGGCCATGCCTTTAAAGCAGATGTACAATGATTTTTCTATAACAAGTTTTGTTTATTCAACGTAAAATGGGTTGTTGTTTATTGTTTGCTATGATACATTAAACACAGTGCACCCATGTCCATAACGATCGTAGCCATATGCGTTACTCCTCTAGGCGATAAAATACATAAATAGGTTGCTGTGTATCGAGCCGTAACGTATGCAATCAACTTTATTTTTTTTAACTTTTTGCGATTTCAAAAAACAAAACACAAAAACCCCGCAACTTATGTCAATTAGTCGAACTGCTAACATTTAACTAAATGTGTATTGATTTACACTTTATTTTTAGATCATGATATATATGTTTTCCATTTGGCACCTGGTCTTGTCTAAAGCGACGCTGACGATGTTAGCATAACACTGGCGTTCGTGACTCTTATGTTGTTTTTCAATATTTTTTACCGTCTTTTGTGTGCATCGTTTAAAACTTTACGCGTAATCGACTACATACTGTGATGCGACGGCCGTCGATGGTCATCTGTTGTCCGTTGCCAGTCCATCTGTCATCTTTTCACTTAAATTACTACTTAACCCTAATGGTCAAATGGATTTTGATCAAACTTGGAGCTGATTATTATTTTGCCGATCCAAATCAACGTTATTCAAATTGAAGGGTGTGCTCTCCCCACTTTGGACGGCAATGCTGTAGTTACGTATACACTTAACTCATATCAGGACCGGTAGCGCGGTGATACTTTGAAAATGTTCTAATGGCCTAAAATGGCATGCAACCTGTAACTGTCTTTAGATAAATATAAACGAAATAATATAACTTTCACAGAACAAAGAACTTTCTTATGTATATGAGTAGCAAGTTGGTTGGCCACTACACTAAAGATTAACCCTTTTTTCTCAATATTGAACTGTCCCTCTGCGCTCAAGGAAGGTACACCTTTACGCAACTTACATAACAATGCGTCACCTTGACCCAAAGATCCTCGTGAGCATAATTAGAAAATATGATTTCTTTATATGAGCAGTACTTGATAAACTCATAACATGATAATGCTGCAGATATTCTATGATATAATATTGTAAATGTAAGGATGAATATATATGAAAACGTGTATACGTATATATAATGTCGGTACTAAAACCAAACAGTTAAATTCAATTCAATTTCTTTACCTCATGACCATAGTTGTGCAGTATTACATACAGAAAAGAAAATATTCGAAAGTTTTCTAGGAAACAGTGAACACATACCTGGTAACAAAAATGCTTCTATGTAGAAACAGGTGGCTGTGGATACTTGCCTGTTGCAATGTACATGAAGAACCCCATTGGCTCTAAGTCTGAATTAACTCGGTAGTAATAGTTTGGAGAAATTTTGTTTTATCCTATTTGAAAGACATGTAGTTATATATGCCCAACTAATAAACTCCTATATGTACCAAATGTTTAACTTATAAAGTCAATTACCCCGTCTGTTCAGTAACAGCAACGTTCAGAGGACAGTGCGGATGCGTTCCATAGGTGTATACACTGTAACACGAGATGCTGGGTGGACACATACAGGTTACCCAACGAGTGATGGTTGGTTATCTTGTTTATCCAACTCGAGTTAGTTAATTGTCAAATTGTAAAAGACATTCGGTAAACCTCGTGTCTTTTAAAATTTACCAACGAGAGTTTAGATAAACGAGATAACTAATCATCAAGAGTTTGGGGACCTGTTTCTCACATAACGTTTGTATTTATCTGAACCTACATTTCCCCCTGGAAAAACATAATGTGTGTTTCCGATGGGGGAAACAATTGCCATGGGGCATGACGTCACAATAGAAAATGACGCAGAAAGGCATTGTTATGTGACGTCATAAATCAAAGATGGACCAATGAAATCACGTCCAGGGTGTTACCCACTAGTGGGTAACCATGCAAAGATGCTTACCAATTCCTAGCAGGTTTATGCAATGAATCATGAGTGGTTAAAGTCCACAGTGATTGTGGTAGAAATTAATGTCACACTTCATACTGCTTAACAGTTATTGACCACACCGTATGTATGGCATATATACCAATTTTAATAGTGATGTAACGGTGAGTAAAGGAACAATTGCAGCCGTTATTGCTTCATTAGAGTCTCGAGGTAGCCGAGAGTATATCAATAGTCTGTGTTGATAAAAGTAGGAACACTTCAAAATTCTAAAAAGAGGTTTGTCATTAAAATGCAGATCAATACGTGTCAAATATTTATAAATACGTTGTACACATTGAGGCGAGTGTGTTATACAAGCAAATTTATGGATGACTAAATAAATAAAAACATAATTTTCTGAATTAACCAGCTCAATATCAGGTTTTCTTAAATATCGATTTCAAACGTAAAAGATGTACTCGTTCGTGCTGCATTATTCATATGTCACAGGCCAGCGAGGACCGCAGCCACCCATGTATAACCGTGTAATCCGTTAGTGTCGTATGCTCAGCGGCATCACCAGCGTCTCTGTCCGGAATCACCTGTTTCATCACCACACTCGTGTCCGCTTCTATCTAGTAAGGATGGTGTTGTGAAATACGATATTGTATTTTATTGTAATCCAATGTGAAGCACGGACATCAGAAGACATGTGTCGAAAACAAATCGAGGGAATCGTCATCGTATTTATGTCGATCTTTGCTCTGGGTAAGTACGGTCGTATAGTATGTACCGTCATAGAAGAATTGCTATATCTTACTTGTATAACGTCTGTCTGTTGGTCCATGTATCAAGTTACATTGCTAAAGGATTTCTACACTTATAATATTATGATAAGTCTTGTCCATGTATCAAGTTACATTGCTATAGGACCTCTACATTTAGGATGATATGAATAGTCTGTTGGTCCAGGTATAAATTACATTACCATATGACCTGTACACGTAGGACAATATAGTTAATGTGCTGGTCTAGGTATCAACTTACATTGCAATAGAACCTCTACACTTATGATTGTATGATACGTCTGGTCAATGTATCAAGTTAAATTGCTATAGAACCTCTACATTTATGATAATATGGTAAGTTTGGTCCGTGTATCAAATTACACTGTAAGAGGACCTCTACATTTATGATAATATGATAAGTCTGTTCCATGTATCAAGTTACATTGCTATGTGATTTCTACACTTTTGATAATATGATAAGTTTGGTCCATGTATCAAGTTAAATTGCTATAGAACCTCTACATTTATGATAATATGGTAAGTTTGGTCCGTGTATCAAATTACACTGTAAGAGGACCTCTACATTTATGATAATATGATAAGTCTGTTCCATGTATCAAGTTACATTGCTATGTGATTTCTACACTTTTGATAATATGATAGGTCTGGTCCATGTATCAAGTTACATTGCTATATGACTTATACACTAGCACAGTTGGTCAGATCTAACACACTAGTACCATGATTGGTAGGTCACATCTTGTGTCATTTTACAGTATGACAAGTCTTAAAAAGTCCTGCCATTGTTAAAAAGTTAAATATTACACTTCAATACCACGGTTTGTGTTTCAGTTTTTGTATCATTTTACAATGTGATAAGTCTTAAAAAGTTCTGACATTATATAAATATCACATTCATGAGAGGGCGATATTGCATATTTTCACCCCAAGGAAGCATTGTTGACCGAGGCGAAGGTCAACAATGCTTCCTTGGGGTGAAAATATGCAATATCGCCCTCTCATGAATGTGATTTTTATTTTATTATACCGAGTGTCATGTTTAGGTGTTTCACCACACTACCATTTTTAAAGGTCCTTGTGTTGATTTGACATTTACCAAGACTTCATCTCAACAGTTGTCGAATGAACCAACCATGAATGTGATTTGATAACACCCTGGCACTGGGACGAACCGTGCACGCATACGTTTGGCGCATGTGATATTTTTTGGAATGTCACCCTGTCTTCTTTATCTTTGTTAAACGAGCAAGTAACATTGAAAATGTTCACATCTTTCTCAACCAATCAGATTACGAGATTTTAACAGAAGGTATAATAAGGTTAACTATTACACGTTTAGGTCATGGTGTGTGTGTTATATCATGCAGCATTTTACAGTGTGATAAGTCTTCAAAACATTCATATATTTTACATATATATACATAATTCCTATTTTCATAACAGTAACTATAATTACCAATGTTTACTAGCATGAAATTATTTCTCTTTCTATTTGTACCTACAAAATTGGCGTTGATCATGAGGCATATATAATGCCGCATGCTTGATTTTCGATTTTGTTTGTCATTGAATAGAAACTTAATGCGAGCGCTTCCATATTATACAGCGAAATTGATTATTATTTTATGTCAATAAGTGGAGCAGTATTCAGTGAAAGCCTTATCTGGGAGCACTTTCGTAGGACCTCTTGTTAAACTTTGCGCTTAGTTAGATTCATATGTCGATACAACGTGTGAAGTACTACACCGATATACCAAATGTAGGTCACTGTGACCTATATTTTCTGCTTCACTGAACTTGAGTTAAGCTCCATTTCATTGAATACGTTATGCACTTAGCTCAATTACCAGCGAAGGAATCTACGGAGAAAATGGCGTATATTATAAGCATTTTCTTCAAAAAATTACCATCGATTGAAAGAAGAAACACTTTGAACTAATGTTTTGTCGATACATTTAGGTATCAGTGGCATATCAGTAAATCTACAAACCAATATGGATACTACGCAATGCTTGGATGTATGATACAATAATATACACTAAAATTAATCAGGGGGGAACAAGTCTTTAACCAAAACACTTCATTCAACCTGCGTATGTCTACTGCCGTGGGGTAGTGATAACACAGGTGTATGTATTATACTCTTTGGAAATCTAACACGATACATATACAATATACATGAGTCCGACTTCTCAACAATATATTGGTCGATAAGCAACAATAAAAGTATATATATACATATTAATTGCGTGCCCCTTTTATTTTATCAATAATATGTTATACATATAAATAATTATATCGGTGACAGATCAGAGACGTACTACACCTATACTCAATTTCATTAGCGCTGTTTTCATCGTTCAAATAAAATATTTAAATCTAATATGCCCTGATGTTCTGCTTCTGTGGGTTACTAACTTTTCATAGACTTTACCTTGTTTTATTGTTTTGTTTCTGTGCTTGGAACCTTCAGCTGCAATCGTATTTTAAATGTTTGTTTTTTTGCTTTATGTTCAAATCTATACAGCCGTTAAGTTGGCGTTTATGATATCGGATAATCACCCTTAAAGTGTTTTCATTGGTATATAATTATTAAAGAATGAACACCAAGAGAGCTTTATAAAATAAAGAACAAATAGTAGGGTGTACACCATAAAAGGAAACATAAAAAGACAGACCGATTAGGTGTTTTATATAAAAGAAGACATTAGTAGCAGTGCTCCGTACGTTATAAAATCTAAAAGAAAGAAAACAACCACAGAACTTTGTCACGTTTAGGTCTGAAGGACATATAAAATCAACAGAACCTCGTGAGAATTAAAATCTAAAACAAAAAATCAAACATCAGTTCCGGTTAGAAAGGTTAGAGTTTCGGCAGGATTAAATCTGAAGGAAAGGACAAATAAACAACAGATTGGATTCAAGATAAAATCTGAAGGAAGGACAAATAAACAACAGATTGGATTCAGGATTAAATCAGAAGGAAATGACAAATAAACAACAGATTGGATTCAGGATGGATTCAGGATAAAATCTAAAGGAAATGGCAAATAAACAACAGATTGGATTCAGGATAAAATCAGAAGGAAATGACAAATAAACAACAGATTGGATTCAGGATAAAATCTAAAGGAAATGGCAAATAAACAACAGATTGGACTCAGGATAAAATCTGAAGGAAAGGGCAAATAAACAACAGATTGGATTCAGGATAAAATCTAAATGAAAGGACAAATAATCAACAGATTGGATTCAGGATAAAATCTGAAGGAAGGACAAATAAACAACAGATTGGATTCAGGATAAAATCAGAAGGAAAGGACAAATAAACAACAGATTGGATTCAGGATAAAATCTAAAGGAAAGGACAAATAAACAACAGATTGGATTCAGGATAAAATCTTAAGGAAGGACAAATAAACAACAGATTGGATTGAGGATAAAATCTGAAGGAAGGACAAATAATCAACAGATTGGATTCAGGAAAAAATCTAAAGGAAGGACAAATAAACAACAGATTGGATTCAGGATGAAATCAGAAGGAAAGGACAAATAAACAACAGATTGGATTCAGGATTAAATCAGAAGGAAATGACAAATAAACAACAGATTGGATTCAGGATAAAATATGTAGGAAATGACAAACCAACCACAGATTGGATTCAGGATAAAATCTGAAGGAAAGGGTATATAAACAACAGATTGGATTCAGGATAAAATCTGTAGGAAATGACAAATAAACAACAGATTGGATTCAGGATAAAATATGTAGGAAATGACAAACCAACCACAGATTGGATTCAGGATAAAATCTGAAGGAAAGGACAACTAAACAACAGATTGGATTCAGGATAAAATCTAAAGGAAAGGACAAACAAACAACAGATTGGATTCAGGATAAAATCAGAAGGAAATGACAAATAAACAACAGATCGGATTCAGGATGGATTCAGGATAAAATCTAAAGGAAATGGCGAATAAACAACAGATTGGATTCAGGATAAAATCTAAATGAAAGGACAAATAATCAACAGATTGGATTCAGGATAAAATCTGAAGGAAAGGACAACTAAACAACAGATTGGATTCAGGATAAAATCTGTAGGAAATGACAAATAAACAACAGATTGGATTCAGGATGGATTGAGGATAAAATCTAAAGGACATGGCAAATAAACAACAGATTGGATTCAGGATATAATCTGTAGGAAATGACAAATAAACAACAGATTGGATTCAGGATAAAATATGTAGGAAATGACAAACCAACCACAGATTGGATTCAGGATAAAATCTGAAGGAAAGGGCAAATAAACAACAGATTGGATTCAGGATAAAATATGTAGGAAATGACAAACCAACCACAGATTGGATTCAGGATAAAATCTGAAGGAAAGGACAACTAAACAACAGATTGGATTCAGGATAAAATCTAAATGAAAGGACAAATAATCAACAGATTGGATTCAGGATAAAATCTGAAGGAAAGGACATATAAACAACCGATTGGATTCAGGATAAAATCTGTAGGAAAGGACAAATAAACAACAGATTGGATTCAGGATGGATTGAGGATAAAATCTAAAGGAAAGGGCAAATAAACAACAGATTGGATTGAGGATAAAATCTGAAGGAAGGACAAATAATCAACAGATTGGATTCAGGATAAAATCTGAAGGAAAGGGCAAATAAACAACAGATTGAATTCAGGATAAAATCTAAATGAAAGGACAAATAATCAACAGATTGGATTCAGGATAAAATCTGAAGGAAAGGGCATATAAACAACAGATTGGATTCAGGATAAAATCAAAAGGAAATGACAAATAAACAACAGATTGGATTCAGGATTAAATCTGAAAGAAAGGACAAATAAACAACAGATTGGATTGAGGATAAAATCTGAAGGAAGGACAAATAATCAACAGATTGGATTCAGGATAAAATCTGAAGGAAAGG